ACCTTGGGATGGGAATGGGGATGATCTTTACGGATCTAGTAGTGCATTCATGGGGGAAAAGGGGCATAATGTTTTTTATGGACCTTTTTTTGTGACCCTGATTATGTCAACATTTTCTTTACATCAATCACTTATTGCTATTTTTCAGATGTGAGGGAACTTTGCATAATAGAGCAAGTTGCATAGTAAGATGTTGCGACAAAATTAAGTGTATTTTACTGTTTAACTAGGCAACTGCTATGGTTTGCTGCCCCTCCTCATATAGTGTTGCTGTGGGGACCAAAGTGGGTCATGTCTATTTCATTGATGTTACCAAAGTTGAAACGCCACGTGTGGTTCACAGAGTTCTTCTTTCCAACTTACCTGTGCACCATCTGCAGTAAGTATGTAGTAGCAGAGGGCAGGGGTATTGTCAGCAGGTAGCCTAAACAATGTGTGTGTTAAGAAATCTATGTGCACTTTTTTGCATGTTCCTCAAGAGAGTTGTGCATGTCAGATGAGACACTGTGGACTAGATTTATGAAAAGAATAATGGATGACAATATAACATGCTATGGTGCTCATCCTCCTGTACGATCCAAAAGTGGCATGTAGTAATCACATCATTGTTGAATGAAGCCACCTCTGCCAGAGTTGAGTACAACAAGCAGGTGGACAGCTGGTCCAGACACACTACACAATAGTAGGTAGTGCGGGACTTTGGTTGAGGGCAATGAAATAAACCCATGTTCTTATGAAAAATGCCACAAAAAGCAGGAAATATATTAATATATAAGGTCCTGTCTGACAGAGCCGCCACACCAGGGCCGGCTCCAGGCACCAGCCTGGCAAGCAGGTGCTTGGGGCGGCCGCTCCGGAGAGGGGCGGCACGTCCAGGTATTCGGCGGCAATTCGGCAAACGGTCCCTCACTCCCGCTCGGAGCAAAGGACCTCTCGCCGAATTGCCGCCGCAGATCGCGATCGCGGCTTTTTTTTTTTTTTTTTTTTTTTCTTTTTTGACTGCTTGGGGCAGCCAAAACCCTGGAGCCGGCCCTGCGCCACACACTGAGTTCCATGTAATTATGTGTCTAATTTGGGAGGATGAAGGGGTGAATCAGTTCTGCAGTGATTCAGACTTGTGGTTCCAGGAAATGGAGACATCTCAAATCTGATGCTTAAAGCTCTGAGCTATCCCTTCTCACATGATGGATGTTTTTATTACTGTTTATTATTATTTTGTTAACATTTAACAAATGTAATTATGCCTATACAATTAGCACTAGGGATCTTATATTGTTGGATTTCAAAAAATGTCAATATGTAATAGTGATCAGTAGAGATAATCATTAATCTGCTTTAACATTTTGATAAATAGGGTTGATATTGAATTTGTTAAACATTAAAAAAACTATTATTTGAGGGATCAGATGTGACATCTCTTCATTATTATCTCTAAAGTAAAACATTAACAATTCATATATTGAGTAAATTATTTTAAAGGTGTATCAATACATATAGAGACAGAGAGCATATAGTATATAAAGTCTGGTTAGATGTCTGAAAAAGAAGTGGATTAAAAGGAACGAAAGATTTTATAATGTAACTAAAATAAACTATTGTGTAATATTACTAGGTTTACATCAAATGCCCACTGAAGTAAATAGAAACGGCTCCCATTGACTTTAATGGGCTTTGGATCAGGCCCAAGCCAAGTAAACCCTACAGGCTAAATCTCAGTTACAGTATGGACCCCACAGATACCAGTAGGGTTACATGAGAGTAACTTAGAGCAGAACTTGGCCTTTTGTGATGAATTGAATCAAGTGAAATACTGTGAGTACACTGTGATGGACAAAAACTGTATTTAAGTGGAATTCTGCTTTGTCTAGATATGATCAGAGTGGTCAGTACCTCATAACTGGAGCTGCAGAAGGACATATCTTTATTTTAGATGCTCGGCCCTCAAAATTATTCCAGGTTCTTGGATACTTAGGTAATATATGTAACAGAATATAATATCTAATATATGATATTCATTGCATTGTATTTTCACTAGGTGCCTTTAGTAATAGTTTTGAATAGTGGCAATATTGATTTCTAAAACTTTTCTTTAACAGATGCTCTTATTTAGAAACTAAAGTTTTTAATACAAGGATGGAATTGGGGTGAAGGATTGCAGCGCTGGTGACTTTACTACTTTATATGGTGCTCTGTATTTTTTCCCGATAAATGCCACTTTGTTGTATTGGGGTTTTTTTTTTCTGATGACTTTCTACAACAATCTCTGATGTGCAGTAGTCCTTTGTTTGGCACCTTATCAAACTATAACACTCTTCTGAACTAATGCACTTTACAAGATACAGTTAAACTACAGAGTTTGTTGCAGTTTTAAATCCTGTATTCTGAGAGCTCCTCCATAACCCAGACACCTTTGCCTCAGGGTGCACATGTACTGCACTTGCAACTTCATATACAGTAACTCCTCACTTAACGTTGTCATGATGTTCCTGAAAAATGCGACTTTAAGCGAAACGATGTTAAGCGAATCCAATTTCCCCATAAGAATTAATGTAAATAGCAGGGATTAGGTTCCAGGGAAATTTTTTTCACCAGACAAAAGACTATATATATATATATATATATATATATATATAATATACCCACAGTATAAGTTTTAAACAAACAATTTAATACTGTACACAGCAATGATGATTGTGAAGCTTGGTTGAAGTGGTGAAGTCAGAGAGTGGGATATTTCCCAGGGAATGCCTTACTGCTAAATGATGAACTAGCACTTGGCTGAGCACTCAAGGGTTAACACGTTGTTAATGTAGCCTCACACTCTACAAGGCAGCACAAATGGAGGGAGGGGAGACAGCATGTCAGACAGAAACAGAGACATACACTGTGTGTGTGAGAGAGAGAGAGAAAGAGAGAGATGTGCATTGCCCCTTTAAGTACGCTGACCGCACTCTAAGTACATTGCCTTTTTAAGGAGATCAGCAAGTTGAGACAGCAGCTGCTGCCGGCAAGCTCCCTCCGTCCTGAGCCCTGTCGTGTCCCCCCCCAACTCTATAGAGATGGGGTAAGTGGGGGGCAGGAGCAGGGGGGAGGGGGACACCCTGACATTAGCCCCCTTCTTTCCCCCACCTCCCACACAGCAAGCAGGAGGCTCCCGGGAGCAGCTCCAAGGCAGAGGGCAGGAGCAGCACATGGCAGTGGGGGGAGGGACAGTTGAACTGCTGGCAATTTATAGCCTGCTGGGCGGCTGCGCACAGGGAACTTAGGGGAGCGGGGAACTGATAGGGGGGCTGCCGGTCAACCCTGGTTCCAAGCCCCCACCAGCTAGCTGCAATGGGCTGCTCTTTCTGCAAGCAGTGGACAAAGCAGTTGGCTGCCAAACAACGTTATAAGGGAGCATTGAGCAACTTTAAACGAGCATGTTCTCTAATTGATCAGCAACGAAACAACGTTAACCGGGACGACTTTAAGTGAGGAGTTACTGTATAAGCCATTCTGTATGAAAGTTGTGTTCCCACCTAGTTTGGCATGCATGCTCCACACCTCGTCCCTCTCAAATTTTGGAAGGCACTTCAGATTCTTAAACCTTGAGTCCAGTGCTGTAACTATCTTTAGAAATCTCACATTGGTACCTTCTTTGCGTTTTGTTAAATCTGCAGTGAAAGTGTTCTTAAAACGAACGTGTGCTGAGTCAACATCCGAGACTGCTATAACATGAAATATATGGTAGAATGCGCGTAAAACAGCCAGAGAAATGCAATTCTTCCCCAAGGAGTTCAGTCACAAATTTAATAAACACCTTATTTTTTTAATGAACATCATCAGCATGGAAGCATGTCCTCTGGAATGGTGACCAAAGCATGAAGGGACATACAAATGTTTAGCATATCTGGCACATAAATACCTTGCAGTGCCGGCTACAAAAGTCCCATGCGAACGCCTGTTCTCACTTTCTGGTGACATTGTAAATAAGAAGTGGGTAGCATTATCTCCCGTAAATGTAAACAAACTTGTTTGTCTTAGCAATTGGCTGAACAAGAAGTAGGACTGAGTGGACTTGTAGGCTCTAAAGTTTTACATTGTTTTATTTTTGAATGCAGTTATGTAACAAAAAAAAATACATTGTAAGTTGCACTTTCACGATAAAGAGATTGCATTATATTACTTGTATGAGGCGAATTGAAAAATACTATTTGTTTATCATTTTTATAGTGAAAATATTTGTAATGAAAAATAATAATAGAAAGTGAGCAGTGTACATTTTGTATTCTGTGTTGTAATTGAAATCAATATATTTGAAAATGTAGAAAAACATCCAAAAATATTTAATAAATTTCAATTAGTATTCTATTGTTTAACAGTGAGATTAAAACTGCGATAAATTGCGATTAATTTTTTTTAGTTAATCGAGTGAGTTAACTGGGATTAATCAACAGCCCTAATATGACGTTTCATTGAGTGTGACATCCCTGAGAATTAAATTTGGTTTAAAATGGTATCCCGCGGAATAATATCAAAATTTGCATAATCACAGTCCAAATATGGATGGCTGACCTTTTCCATGCCTTGTCACATTTCACCCAGTGATTATCTGCAGCATCTCTCCAGAATCGTTAAAATTTGCTCAAATTTCAGGTCGCTTAACCTCTCAGATCAGCTGAAGTCTCAAAATTTCCTGTGGGATGAAAAGCCTAATTTTTTCACAGGTGCTGAGCATCTGCAGCAATTGACTTCAGTTGGAATCGTGGGTATTTGGTATTTTTGAAAATCAGTTCCCAGCTGTGCTGATTTTCTCAATTTAAATAGTCACTTAAGTGCAAGAGCAATATGATTATGTTATGACATGTTCTGAATCATCGTTCCCCAATGGGCTTCGCATGGGATCCCAGCAGGAACAAATACAACTTGATGCAATAACTGGCTTAAGTGTTGGTCTCCATCTGATTTCAGTGATGAGTAGTGAAGTCCTAGGCCTTTCTGCAATATATGATGTGGAGAGTGAATTAGTTGAGGTGATGGCACTTCTTTGTCCACCAGACATCAGAAGAGCAAGACTAGAAATCTTTTGTCTGCCTTCAGCAATCACAATAGGTAAAAATGAAATATATTCCTTGTGTGACATTCCTTGAGACACGTGTACACTTATGTTGTCCCTTGCACAAAGCACTACTGCTCTAATCTGTTTTATCTATCTACTCTATACACCTTCCCAGTGTATCATTTCTAGTATGATTGTGTGTAGGCTTCCCTTAATCAGCTGATTCATTTAACAAAATAGTACTGCAGTATGCAGATGAATTGAGGAGTGCGGGAGGCAAGAAAGAAGCGAGGGAATGGTGATTTACCTCTGGTATCACATTGCCACCACCCAACAATGAGATGTCCATAGGGCAGCAGAAGGAGAGGAAGGTGGAAGAGAAAAGTTAATCTCACCAGTCCTTCAGTGAATTACTATGGGTTCAAGATGGCTTAATAGTGAAAATGTCCGAGGTTAATACATTAATAAATAATGACTGTCTTTCCCATAGCACCACTAGATAAAAGTTCATAGCAAAAAACCCAACAATTTTTTAAAAATCTTAACTTGTATCCTAATTTAAGACTATTACAAAGAAACATGGTGTGAAACAAAAGAACAGCATTGAGGGCGGGAGGGAACTAGGACTTACTTTATAGGCAGACTTTAGGATTCTCAGCCATTGTAAATCAGCATAGTTCCATTCACCAGCTGAGGATCTGGCCCTAGATCTCTGCAGTCATAGATTTTCAGCAGAGTGCATATTGGGGCATCACATTGAAAGGGAAACTGGTGATTTGTGGGATGGGAGGAGGTTAGGCCTTCAGTAAACTGAACAACCATCCAAAAAGCGTTCTCAAAATATACCCCAGCCTTATTTTATCTATGTGAGCATCTATAAAATGCTCAGCACTGGAATACGAGTGATTTTTTTTTTTTGGTAGCTTTGCTCATAAATTCATAGGCGTTTTTTTTTATGTCCAGAAGGGACCATTGAAATCATCAGTCTGACTTCTTGCACAACACAGGCCATAGGAGTTTCATGTATTTGTGGAATTCAGCATACTATCCTTGAAGTTACATTTTTTAAGCAGGTCACTTCTTTCAAGTACCACAGACTCCAAGAATTGGATGCAGAATGACAAGACTAATCATTGAGTCTTTGATTGAATGTACATGTGAATTAAAAGATATAGACAATGTTCTAGACAAATGCACATTCTTCATCACATTTTTCTTAAAAATTGAAAATTAATTGAATGGGCATGAAAGGGTTTTAGTGGATTAGCTTAAGCAAACCACATTGCAGGCTGGTGCTTTATCAAGCATCCTCCACACCCCAGGAGTACATCACAGTCCTCATATGCAGTCACAGTCAAAATGGAGCTTTGTGCCACGATGCTGTCATTCGATTTGTGTCTATGTATGAATTGTTAGCAAAATCTTTTTTGGAGAAGGCTTTATTATGTAAAGTTGTAAGAAAATATGGTGCAAGACTTTCTTAACACTTAAATCTAAATTCTAAAAGGAACTTGTTAATACTACACTTTACGTAGTTACTTTCACTGAGGCACCGATACTGAGGCCAATATTTTCTTTAAATGTCCACTGACGTTGGGTGTCTCCAGTTGTGAGTGCCCAATTTTAAACACTTAAAGTAGGGCCTGATTTTCAGAGGAGCTGGCCACCTGCGACTTCCATTGGCTGCAGCTGGAGTTGTGGGTGCTCACACCCTTTGAAAATCAAGCCCTATTATAGGTGTCCCATGTTGGGCCGTCAAAAAATGGAGATGCCCTGGTGAAAAGTTGGACTTACATAACTTATCCAAGGTCATATAGAGTCAGTGGTAAAGCTGAGACTCCGGACTCCCAGTCCCCTGCTCAAAACATTAGACCACCCACCCTCCCTGCTGAGATTAGCTGGTACATTAAAATTTGCTTCTGTTTGTCACAACTACCATTTTGTTTTTAAAGGTGAAATATCTGCTCTAGCATCAGTGATTTCTCTTCCATCTTGTCTGTTTCAATCTTGTAGACAATGATGAGTGTATTGATGAAAGAGGGCTGCTAAAGAACTCTGTCATTCAGAAGCGCCAGTACGAACTAGATTACCCCCTGTCCTCAGCAGTCAGACAGAAAGATGACACCGTGTATGGCTACTGCAACCACGCACCTTTCATCTGTAAATACCATCTTGCCAAAAAGGTATTTCTCTGATGCTGCTTTTTGGGAGGAGGTAAAATATTGTAATCTTGTCAACACAAGAAATGAGGGGCATGAGCACAGCGGCGAGTAAGCAAAATCTCGTCTATCTATCCCTGACACCTATCAAATTGCATCATTCTCCAGTAGCTTAAGGTAAAATAGGTCAACCCTGTTTGGTACCTACATGGTGCTCACTGCAGTGCTCAACCTCAGAAGTGTGTATCACAGGCATTAGATCAGCACACCAGGGCAATGACCACAATGTGGCAGCATTCTTAAAACGGTACAAACCTGCAGAATGGCTGACACCTGTACTTCAAATATCAATTCTTTCTCAAGAACTAGAACTAGACATTAGGCCTGTGAATCCATGGATGTCTAGGAAATGTGCTGCTCCCTACACTTCCTTTCTGAGCCAATCTGCATAATTTCTGTCTGGCTCAGTCTCGGGTAGTTCTGAATTACTCAATTTCAGATTTTGCAATATTTATTTGGATCTATAGGACACATGAAAAGGTGCATGTCCAGGTCTCTAGGTGACTTTTCACATACGTTTAAACATACAAAAAGCTCCCCCAATCCAGAAAATAATCATCCAAAAGTGAAAATTTCAACCCCCTCCTCCACAAAAATACCCTACTCCACCCACAAACACCAACCTTCTGCACTTCCCAACCAACCCAAAACCCTGGGGAAAGAGATGGACTCTTTTATCTAATATGCCCTGAGCATCAACAGATTTGTGCTACTTCTGACTAAGTGGGAGAGAGAATCCTCATGGAGAAAGGCTTGTTGGCAGGCTCTTCACTTTTAAGCTGAGGGGTTCCAGCTCAGGCACCTCCATTGATTGCAACTCCTAAAACATCTACTATATCCCCTTCTGCAACTAGAGAGGGTGAGATAACGTATTATCAGCATAGCCATGATAAACCCCCGCCCCCCAGGCCCATAACTCTTATAAATGGCAACATATGTAAAAGATAATCCAACAAGCTATTTGTACCTGCCAGCATTATCACTCAGTTTTATATGGCCAGCTGTTGATACTTCCATCATCTCAATTGCTGTTTTGTATTTTGTTTGGTTTACAGAAAACCTGGAAAGATGCGTCAGTTACTTTATCAGAGAAGAAGATTCCAAGCAACCAGTTTGCACCAGGGTTCCTCCATTTTTCACCTAACAGCCAGCTGTTGGCATCAGTGGCTAAGGATGGAGTATTGTTTATCCATGATGCTGTTACTTTGGTAGGCATCAGTGCACAGGTCTCATTAAACCTATGTTGATCAGAGCAGTCAGGAGTTACTGTATGGATCAGTGTAATGAAAGCAAATATATAAATTGCTACAGAAAAAGACTTGCTGCACTTGAAGAGAAAAGGAAATTGTATTATACAATTGACCAGTCTGATGTTTATTTTTATGATGGATGCTTTTATTTTCAGAGGTTGTGTGTGTGTGTGTGTAATCATTTGCTGCTTATTTTCTTCTACAGTAAATCTTCTGGTAGATAATTTTGCTGTGTCACAGACATCTGAGATAATGGCTCAGCCCTAGGAGCTTATTCCAAGGCCTGAGTCAAAACTTGGCCCACCTTTTAAAACCACACATTCTAGTGTTTTTTTAAACTCCTTAATGACATTTTAGATAAAGTTTTATCCTAATACAAAGGAGTATTTTAAACAAGGGAGCCTATTAACAGAATTTAGTGACATATTCCTGTAGAAAAACATATTTGCTCCTGACCGTCTGATATTGTTTCTGTAACTCTTTCAGGAAACAGTTGCTCGGGAGCATTGCCATTCTTACCAAGGACAGGGAATTGGATCCTTGGCATTTTCATTGGATGGCCAGTTCATTCTTGTCAATGGCGTGGATGATGGTACCCTTGTATGCCTGAAATGGAAGTATGTATAAGATTAACTGATTATATTGATGATATGAATACTGGTGCCCAAACACACTAATTTCTGCATGCTTTAGGCAATCTGTTTTATTATGTGGAAGTTAGCTTTATTGTCTTCTGTACAGACAGATAGTCTACAACCTAACAGCAGCAGTCCGTGATTACCAAACCTGGGCAGTTAATCAGCTGAAATCACTTGACTAAGCTGATCAGTCCAGCTATGGCTTTAGCTCAAGCTTAGGACTATCTTCAGGACTTAGTTATATAGAGCACCTTAAGGCTAAAATAAAAAACTCAGGGAAGATAGACTTTGATGAATAAAAGTAATTAAAAAGACAAAATAAAGGAAAATGTCCCCTTTTAGGAAATTACTGGCTTTAGGCCATTTTTAGACTATTCTGGGGTAAGTATTAGAAAAGTGGTTTCTTTCCCATGGTGGAAACGGCAAACAGATATTGTTGTTTCACAGAAACATATTTATGCTCCTCCTTGTTAGTCATACCAGAGCGGCCAAGGATTGAATGGGCTTTGCATATTGACTTCCCTTCCTCTCACCCTAGAGGTTGTCCCATCAGATCATTAAGAATATAAAATCATTACGATTAGGTACATACACATAGTGACCAGTTCCTCTACAGCTTGGGCATCCGCATCCCCTAGTGCATATTGTCTGTCCTTTGTTTTCTAGACTACAAGATCTCTGGGCAGGAACTGTTGTAATATTTCTGTCTTGTACAGCCCTGAATATACCATTAGAGAATCCTATCTAACCATGCCATATCCATTCTGAGAACTTCATTCTCCAGTGCTGTAAATCTGACCCCTTTATCAGCCTTAAAACAAATAAAAATTTAAAGGCAGAATAATATAGTTCATTGGTCCTTGGCCTTTCCCATAGTGTGACCCCATATCGCAACAGAAAAAAGCTTTGGCATCCCCATTCCATTTAGTTATAAAGAAAGGAAATGTAGTTGTAACTCATAAAAAAACTTGATCCCCCTGCTTGAGAACTTGTGATATCGTTGTGTTTACTTAGCTGTTTGCAATAATATGTGGTTGTAACTAAGCTTTAGAAGGAGGCATGCAGAAGCGTTGAAAGGTTACAACGGAAAAGTTACTGGCCTAGTCAATAGGGGGATAGCTGTAGACCTGATATATGCTGATTTATATTGTATGTTGATAGTAAGACATTTGACATAGTCCCACATGACATTCTCATAAACAAACTAGGGAAATCTGTTTTAGATGAAATTACTATAAGGTGGGTACACACCTGGTTAAAAGACCATACTCAAAGCCTAGTTCTCTGTCAAACTGAGAAGACTTATCTAGTGGTATGCTGCAGGGGTCTGTCCTGGGCCTGGCACTAGTCAACATTTTCATTAATGTCTTGAATAAGGGAGTGGGGTGTATGCTTATAAAACTTGCAGATGACACCAAGCTGGGAGGAGCTGCAAGCACTTCGGAGGACAGGATTAGAATTCAAAATGGCCTAAATAAATTGGAGAATTGGTCTGAAATCAACAAGATGAAATTCAGTAAAGACAACTGCAAAGTACTGCACTTCAGAAGGAAAAATCAAAGGAATAAATACAAGATGGGGAATAATTGGCTAGGCGGTAGTACTGCTGAAAAGGATCTGGGGGTTATAGTGGCTAACAAATTGAATACAAGTCCACAGTGTGATGCAATTGTGAAATAGGTTAATATCATTCTGGGGCATATTAACAGGAGTATTGTATGAAAGACCTGGGAAATAATTGTCCCGCTCTACTCAGCACTGGTGAAGCCTCAGCTGGAGTATTGTGTCCAGTTTCGGGTACTACACTTTAAGAAAGCTGTGGATAAATTATAGAAAGTCCAGCAGAGAGCAAAAAAAAGATAAAAGGTTTAGAAAACCTGACCTATATGGAAAGGTTAATAAAACCGGGTATGTTTAGTCTTGAGAAAAGACTAAGAGGGAGGACCTGGTAACAGTCTTCAAATATATAAAGTGCTGTTATAAAGAGGACAGTGATCAATTGTTCTCCGTGTCCACTGAAGCTAGGACAAGAAGAAATGGGCTTAATCTGCAGCAAGGTAGATATTAGGGAAAACTTTCTAACTATAAGGATAAGGTTAAGCATTGAAATAGGCTTCCAAGTGAGGTTGTAGAATCCCCATCAGTGGAGGGTTTTAAGAAAAGGTTAAACAAACACCTGTCAGGAATGGTGTAGGTATAATTGGTCCTGCTTCAGCACAGACGACTGGCCTACATGTTCTCTGAAGGTCCCTTCCAGCCCTACATTTCTATGATTCTATGATTAAAGATTTAGCTTGAAATTCAACCCAACACAGAGAACCTTCTCCGTTCACCCAATGGATACACTTAAGACTTGTGTAGTGAGTGGCAGGTATAGTAGGGATCTCTTTATGCCACTGAATACCATACATGTGGGCTCCCTGCCAGCCAGCCCCAAATAGGCCATTTGGAAGAGGCTCACTGGATCCATACTTACATGAACTCACGTAAGTCTCATGTAGCACTGCAGAGGCTCAGCCACAGGGAGAGACCACCATATATCATGGGAGGTGAAGTCCAGCTGGGGAGCAGAACCCATAGTGTGGAATGGAGTTACGAGGGACCTGGAACTAAAACTCCCATAAGGCACCACAGAGGCATGTTTTGATATTTCCAAATCAGAATTTTTCATGCTGTGAAAAATTTCAGTAGTTTGACCTTTAGTCCCACTTTGGGGTAAAAACACTGAAATGCCTGTACTGGAATTTCCTGTGGGACAGAAACTCCATATTTCAATCAGTTTAATATATTGTAATAAATGGTTTTAAATTCTTCAGCCTTTTCCATAATACACAGAAAAACATGTCAGTTCCCCCTTTTTACCAGCAGGACTGGAGACGATGAAATTAAGGAAGCTACTGATTATTGGCGACTCATTCTCGCCGTTCTGAACAACTCAATTTACAGTGAAAATACTGTTTTAAAGTCCATGGCGGAATGGAACATTGCTACAGAGTCCCTACTGGAATCATCCTTGGAAAAGGAATCTCAGGTCTGAAACTTTTTAAAAATTTGAAACAAAAAATTCTTATCTTTAAAGGGGTGGAAAAGATTTTGATAATTCTTGAGATGAAATTTGATCCACCATTACAAATGTATAAAGTTTATTGTATCCTGACACAGTGCTCTGCCCCTAGGAGAGTTTCTAGGCGAAAGGGGGAAAACCCCAGAGATTAAATGGTCTTTGTTTAATTATTTTACTTCTGGAATAGAAATCTCATGAAAATGAAAATAGTTTTAGGGACCAAGGTGTTCACATGTCCTCAGATTTCACTAGATATATTCAAATCTGCCATAGACAATCGGATTTATTAACGTCAGACTTATTTTTATTGTGATGATGCAAAACAGTTTTTCCAGGTTTAATCCAGACTATAGTACATATGCATGGTAGCAAGGGTTTGCAGGTTCAGACTCTAACACAGCAGTTACCAAAGAGATGAGAAGAACATTGTAATACATCTTCTGATGAAGGACTCCTTAGGAATTTACCTGAATTTTTCAATCTGCTATCTTAAATTTTCTCTTGTTTTCTCTGAATATTCATATTTGAGGCAGCTTTTATAAAAAGTGTGAAGTATGAATAAAGGATTGAGTGGAATATATATTGTCTGAACTAGGCATTATGGAAACAGGTCTGTATAAATGCCTGTCTTAAAATTTTAATGTCAGGAAATGCTCCAGAAGAAACCAAGTGTGGAGGTGACGGATGAAGATAGCTACCACAACCTGAACATACTCAGTACTGATGAAATGACATGGCTCAACCAGAAAGTTCAGAAGGTATTTTTATAGAACAGGCACCAACCAGGGCCAAAATATTCAAAAATGACTAGGGATTTTGGATGCCTCACCTTTGGAGACCTAATTTTCAGAGAGTGGATACTCAGCACTTTCTGGAAATCAGGCCCCTTAAAGGTGTTGAAAGTTGGATACCCAAAATCACTAATCATTTTTTAAAATCTTGGCCCAGGATTGTAAGCACTTTGGGGCAGGAACTGTTCCTTTGTTATATGTTATAGTGGTATCACAATGGGGCCTCTACACATTACTGCAGTAAAAATAATAAAAAATAAGACTCTATGACAACTGGAGCCATTGAGCAGCAGGCTAATTATACTGAAGCCCAGAAAGATTTTCTAAAAATATGAGTCAGAAACTTGCACAAATGGATCAGCATCAGAAACCAAGCAAATGTGCTTCCTTCTTCCATGAGCCATCATACCGAATTTCACTGCATTGTTAAATCAATACTTAGGATTGTTAGCTACATCTGAAAGACCTTGGGGTTGTTCCAGGCCAATGTTGGAGTAACACTCTTTGCAAAGAAAGGACCATATTTTAAAAAGACAGAAACACCTCGCAGGGCTAAGGGTGGGAAGAGAGGAGATGTAGAGCTTTGTGACCTTGACAACTGCTGATTTTATTGTTAGTATATATAGTTTTCAAACACACAAATATGTGGCTGGTGAATAGCCCTCATGTAAGCTAGAGCTCTATGTATCATCTGTGCTTTCAGGGGAGGGGAGTAAACAAAGGAAATGCCTGATAGATATCATTGTCTTCCTGGGTGATCTCAGGAAATAGCACTGTTCCTCATAGGGCTGACTGAGGGCTTTCAGATTATGGAGTCCATCTCACATCAGGATCACGCCCACCCAGTTGCCATTAATGGCAATCGGGCTGTGTAAAGTTGTGAATCCACTTTGGAGAAGAGGAAGGAGGGAGCAAATTCCAGTGTCACTGAGGTGCAGAGGAATTGTAAAATTTCCCTTAAGTGATCAATCTGCAAAACTGTAGAACCCAACAGGCCACCATAGCTTCCAGAATGGGTATGATCTGTTAATTCACTTCACTTCACATTAGTCCAGAGGAAATGTTTGTTTCCTTTAGAATCCACTAGCGTAAGGCTAGGTTATGCTAAAAGGACCTGTTTCTAAAACCTGTGATTATTAGATCAGATTAGATGCTCCTGTGCTTTCTGACACCTGAGGCAGCCCAGTGTTTCCACCTCTGTATGTCAATTCCCAGTTTCTTGCTGCATCATAATCTGTTTCCATGGTATTGGCATCTTTCTCAATAGTTTTCTGTTGTCTTCCTTTTTTCCATCTTCTAACAGGTAGTATCCAGACAAGGGCTTGTCTAGGAATATGTTTTTTTGACATCTGTACAACGTCTCCAAACCACCTCAGTCTTCTTTCTCAAATCAGTTTCTCTACAGTCTGTTGACCAGTCCTTTGTAACACATCAGTGTTGGTTATTTTATCCTGCCAACAGACACCAAGTATTCTCCACAGATATCTCTGATGGAATGTGTTAAGTTTCCTATTGTGAGCTTCTAGCATTTGCCAAGTTTCAGAAGCATACAACAATGTATCACAAATGACATTATATAACTTGATCTTGGTTCTTGTGTGAATCTCCTTATTTTTCCAGATATTTGCCAATCTCGAAAAGCTCCTCTTGCCTTTCCACTTCTTGCTTCTACCTCCTTATGGAGTTGCCCACCAGCACTGAATGTGCCTCCAAGATATACATGCTTGTTAACCATGTCGTATTTTTCACTATCAGGCACATGCCCACCATCATTGCCGACTCCTCATTCAGCGATCATGACTTTAATCTTCTTTTGGCGGAGTCTTAATCCTACTTTGGCAGACTCACATTTGACATTGATGGTAGTCTTTTTCATGGCACCATCACCTGTGTCCAACAGAACAATGTAATCTGCAAAGTTTAGATATTGAAGTTTTACTCTATTCTACATAACTCCTTTATTGTCCTTTGATGTTGCTCATTTTATCACATAATCTATAACAATGCAGAAAAGAAGGGGTGATAAAATGCAATGCTGCTGTACTTCAATGACCATATCAAACCGATTGGTCTCTCCACCTTCTGTCCTTACACAGTATTTTGAACCTTCATACAGCATTGTGATTGGTGACACTATCTTTTTAGGATACCGATATTGTCTCAAGATCTTCCATAGTGACTCTCTGTGAATGCAGTCAAAAACTTTGGTGAAATCTATAAAATTCAAGACTAATCTTTTCTGGTAAGCAAGCCCTTTCTCAATCAGTCATCTCAGGATAGAGAGGTGATCTATACATGATCTTTCGGTTTGAAGCCTGCTTGCTCATTTTGCAATTTTTCATCTATATCCAGTTTGATTCTGGTCAATAGCACATGACAGAACACTTTCCCACATACTGAAAGTAGTGTTATTCCTCACCCATTATCTCACACCATTTGTTGGCAATTTACAGATCACACCTTTCTTCCAATCCTCTGGATAGAATTATTTTCTCCCAAACTGTATTAGAAAGTTTATGCATTTCATGTAGTACCACATCCTCCCTAGCTTTAAGCATTTCAGCAGTTGTCTTATCTTGACCAGGTGCTTTGCTATTTTTCAGCTGCCTAATTGCTTCCTTTATTTCTGCTTCTGAAATTTCTAGCAGTGACATATTTAATTCTTTACCTTCTTTGCATCCATCGATTAGTATTGTTGGCTCTGGCTGGTTAAGTATTTCATTAAAATGTTCTCACCATCATTTATTTTGTTTTACTTTCATTGTTAACAATCTTTCATCTTTTGATTTTATAATACCACTGTGTCTCTGCAATCGTAATGACAAATTGCCTACAACTGAAATAGTTTCTTAGGCCTGGTCTACACTGAGGGGGGGTCGATCTAAGATACGCAACTTCAGCTACGAGAATAGCATAGCTGAAGTCAACGTATCTTAGATCGACTTAGAATCACTTACTTCGCGTCCTCGCGGCACGGGATTGACGGCCGCAGCTCCCCCCGTCAACTCCGTTTCCGCCTCTCGCCATCATGGAGTTCCGGAGTCGACGGCAGAGCGATAGGGGATCGATTTATCACGTCTACACTAGACGCGATAAATTGATCCCTGATAGATCGATCCCTACCCGCCGATCCGGCGGGTAGTGTAGACATACCCTTAGTCGCCTCTCACTGATGCTTCTTCAGCTTCTCTTGCTTTTTCATCAAGCTATTCTTTCTTATCTATCCAACATGACTTTTTTTACTTCTTTATCTTTCTTTACATATTCCTGTTGTAATGCACATTGTTCTTCTTGTTATGTTGCCTGTACTTTCCTCTTTTTTAAGCCTTTTCTTTCCTCAGTCAGTTTCCATGTGCCTGACTGTATTCACTTTTCTTTCCTTGGTCCTCTTGGTCCAAATGAAGTTGTGGCAGCTTCCCAGAAAACATCTTTGAAGTGAGCCCATCGTTCCTGTATATCAGCATTCATTAACCACCACTCCTGTAATCCCCTTATGAGCTGGATTTTTAAAACCTTCCTGATTTCTGGGTCAAACATCTTCTTCACATCAAATACCATCTCTCTTTTCTTCTTGGAATAAAGCTAAAAAGGCAAGCTAACTGTTCAGATGAAAATGTATTGGTAACTTCTTACAGCAGCACTTGTAAAAGATCGAATATCCAGCAACAATCTTCTCTGCGGTCTGCTGATGGCAATGTAATCCAGTTGTTTCTCAGTCATTTCATCATTTGACTTCCATGTTAGTTTGTGTTTTCTGTGATGAGGGAAAAGTGTCCCTCAATGCATAGATTATACATGCTGCACAGTTTCATGAATCTTTTGCTGTTGTCTATCCATTCCTTAATTCCAGGTTTTAAATGTGTAAAATGTTTGTATCCAAAGTTGTCAAAACCAACTTGGGCATCATATCATCCAGAACCAAAATAACATCATTAGCATAAACCTGGTTTAGCACGTCTTGCAACTTGTTGTAGAATATCTGTTACTTGTCCATCAGGATCTTGGTAGGTGTGTAACACTGGATGATAGTTGTTTTAGCGTGTTTGTAATACAACATGCCCTTATAATTTGTGAATTGACTGGTGTAAACGTGTTGCCTTTTTGTCGAGGAGTATTTGTACTCTATGTCAATGTCATCTTGCCTTAAACAGAGTACTGTGATGCCCTCTGAATGGAGTCTTCCACAACCTGCCCATCTCATTTTGCTCCACTTCAGGAATACTAGTATTAAACTGAGTCATTTCTCTGACTACCTGACTCAATTTGCCACTGTCTTACATGGTTCTTACATTCCAGCACCCAATTCTAGCTTTAATTTTAACTGCTCACATCTCTTGTTTCAAGTGATGAAGTCCCTCACAGGTTTGGTCCACCGCCTTCATTCTTCCATTCAGACTCATTCATTGTCAATTTGATTCCAAAAAGCCAATCTGATTCCATAATCTCCTCCAAATTGACTAGTTCAAACAGATTTTTGTAACTGGATTGTTTCAATAACTAGTGATTTTTTTACGTGGAGAGGTAGTTAACCCGACTCACAACTGTAGGTCCCATGGCTACTAATTCAGTATATTCTGAACAGCCCATCCTGTGTATGAGGTTCCCTCTTCCACCACCTGAGAGACGAGTCTGGTAGCTTGGAATGCCCCAGGTAAAAAAAATCTTTGCTGCCATGAGCAATCCTCTTAATTTCAAGAGGAGTTCTCCTGTGAGTTAGGATTATTCTTGTGAATAAGGACTACAGAATTGGGTCCAACAAGATGTTTGGGTGTTGTTTGTTGTTTGCAATCAATAATCCCATGGGGCGGAGGGGGGGTGATTGGGTGCCTGGATGGACCACACTGAGGATGGCATACTCGGGGCACACTGCAAGGAATAGGGCAGCCAATCCCCAAAACTGGTGGCTTATTCTATAATTAGATTCACCAAGCCAGTAACAAAACAGCATCTGTAATACCACACTGGTCACCAGGAAGCCAAATCCAGTCCCCTTTAAGCATTCCAGCCCTTAACTTCCATCCAGACAACCAAATCTAATATAGTGAGTGGTTACTGAAAACCTGGTTCACCAGTCCCAAAAGATCAGACATGGATCCCCCAGTCAATATGAGTCTCGGATCTTACCCAATAATCACACTGATGCCAATCCTTTAGTAACTAAAACTAAAGGTTTTAATAATAAAAGGAAAAGAAAGAAAAGAGTTGCAAAAGGTTAAAAGACTAATATACATACAAATATGGGTAAAGTCCTTAGGTCAATTTCATAGCAGAGACGGTGCGGCTGCTGATGTTTAAAAGTCTTTCTGGAATCAATTTAAAAGGTTATAGTCCAATAGGTGGTCCAGGAGTATCATCTGTTCAAGTTCTTCCATGAGAATTCCAGGGTAAACCTGGAGACCAAATTCTATGGGTTTTTCTAGACCATCCCTGTTCAAATTTAAGCAGACCTGAAATGGCGGGATCAAGCCTATGGCTATCCTTTATAGCTCCCTAGCAAACTGACAAGCCTCTTGTCACAGCAGGATTATTGCTTTGAAGCTAATCATCTGTTTACTATGCATACACTGATAAACTAGTTGCATTCATTCACATAATGCAATTAGCCGGTACTTCATTATAGCATTAAGCTGAAGACAATGTAAATAATATTATTAGTTTCTTGCAGTGTTTTACTTCTTTGATCTTAAGGTTAACTGAACCATCCGCATGCATAATATAATGCAATTAAGCCGTGAAAGGGAATTAGCATCTACAAACTAATCTGCTTACATTGTTAAACTTCTAACAAGATATAGGTAAACACAGACAAATACACTTAGCATCTATCCTTCTCTAACAATACAGGCAAACATTAAAAATTCTACAAAAACAACAAGGAGTCTGGTGGCAACTTAAAGACTAACAGATTTATTTGGGCATAAGCTTTCGCGGGTAAAAACCTCACTTCTTCGGATGCAGCTCACTCTATGCATCCTTGTTGTTTTTGTAGATACAGACTAACACGGCTACCCCCTGATACTTGACACCATTAAAAATTCTAGTCTACTTAACATGCCTTTGATAACTATCTGTAAGGAATGGTTCTGTTTACCATTGCAATACCCATTTGATAGCTCCTTAAGAGTTGCTTACAGGTCACCTAGCTTGCTGGTTGTTAATCCTTCACTGGTTCAGTGTTATTGGGGGGAAGGACGTTACGTGATTTATTTCCTCAATAGATAATATTCTGTTTAGTCATTTCATTTCTTTTCTTGTTCTACTTTCTTCCTTCAATTATATATTTATTGCACCTAGGCCATCAAAGAAGAGATCAAGAAGTTTGCTGACAAGAGGAAAGAACTGAAAAAAGGAATTAAAAAGCTCCGTAAAACTGTGAGTGTTTGAGACTGTTCACAAATTGCTTCCACGGAAATTGGTTCCACCTGCCACCTTTAGTTTGCTTCCACGGATGCTTTAATAATACCTACCAGCTCTAGGCTCCATTTGCCACGAGCCCTGAGCAAGGCATAGCACATAGGTGCGCTGCACTCGGAGCATACCAGGAACCAGACTTGAGTTCCCCTTTTACTTCAAAAGGGGAGTAATTTGTGTCAGCCCTATATCTTTTGCAATGTCTCTTTAAAAATGCCTGCTGTCAAATAAAAGAATAGATATTTATTAGTACTAATATTTATATAAGTGATTTTCACTTTACTCAAAATAAATAAATTTTCTTTAGAAAGTTGGCAAACTCATACTCATGTTATGAAAGGTATTCAAGTTACATGAATTAAGACAACCAGACAAAAATGCAAATAAGCTATTTCTTTTAAGTGCTCATAGCCAGAATACTGAGCGTGCTGTACAATAAATAATCATTCTTAAAAGGAACACAGACACTAATTTCAAATGTCAGGTCTAAACCAGCATAAAGAAAGGAACAAAAATATTTATGTATATATAAACCCCCATGTATATACAAACCTCTTCAGCTGAGATTGTGAAATCTACATGAGGGTAGTTAAAAGTTTGGTAATTTATAGAACAGGTCTTATCTGAGGGTACGTCTACACTGGAAACTTCAACGCGCTGCCGCGGGAATGCTTTGAAATGCGAGTGTGGTCGCGCGCGAGCACTGGGAGAGAGTTCTGGTAATCCACCTCCACGAGGAGCTCCCAGCGCTCGGAGCCTGTCTACACTAGCACTTTAAAGCGTTCAGACTTGCTGCGCTCAGGGGGGTGATTTTTCACCCCCTGAGCCAGCAAGTTAGAGCACTCTAAAATGTAAGTGTAGAAAAGCCCTTGATACACAGTTCTAATAATGTGCTAGAAAATAGTATTCCTTCTATTCATGTACAGCTGAATTCACTTTTGCTCCTTGTACTTTTTTAATAAAATTCAGATTCAGGAAATGATGTATGAAAATGAACAGGTGCCTGATATTGAAAGACTGGACCAGCAGGAATTCAACCTGGACATCGAAGAACAGGAAAGGCTGCAGGCGGAGAGTGAACAAGAAGTGGCCAGGGTATGGTAGAATGGCGTGAAAATGTTTTAAATGATAGGAATGGAAGGGAGAGAGGATTAGGTAGGAACAAAGAGCGAGAGAGCACGAAAGGAGCAAATCCAAGCAGAAAAGTTTGTAAGGTGTTAAATTAAGTAGCAGCCTAAATGTGATTGCCCCACTATCATTAAATAAATACATACATTAACATTACAAAAGATCTCCTTGAAAGGAACGGATCGGGTTGGTTATTGAACCGATCTTGCAGTCAAAAAACAAATTTGTGTCTTGGTCTGTGCCAAGAACTACTGAGTTCTAACCCCTGACTTTCCCACAGTGACCTTGGGCACATCACTTAACCTCTCTGCCTTTTTCTGCTGTAAAATGTTTAATGTTTGTGGTGTGGTTTGAAGATGCGAAGTACTACAGTGTTTTTAGTGCCGAGTACTAGTAATGCAGAATGTCTGCGATGTTTACTTGAGGGACCCATTGAAAATTGCTTTCTTTTGCATCCTATACTTCTTTCTCTCTCCGCCCTCTCCTCTCCCCCCTCGCTCCCCCCCAAAATCCCAAAAGGTAAGGAAGGAGATTGAGATGGAGAATCTAGCCAAATGCTATCTGCGTGACATCATCAAAAAGGAATGCTGGAACTCCATGTCCATAAAAGGTCGTGCAATTAAGGTAACTTCTACTGTCACTTTATTTCATACCTTTCCCCTGTAGTTTGGGACTCATAAAGGCATTGAGGCTAAGTATGCAGGAAGCTTACCACAATTTGGGCTTGCAGAGCATATGGGAAAGAACTTGCTGCTTCCCAAAACACATACAACTAGAGCTGGGTGACTATTTTCAGGTCAGCCAGAAAACCAAAAGAAAAATACCCAGTTTGGTTTTGAAAATGTTTGGAATTTGTCAGCAAAGTCTGTTCTGAGCCAGCTTCAGATAACATGTATGCATACATTCCCCCTTTGAACCTTTAGCACAGTAGCGAGAGCACCTGGCCGGGATGTGGGAGACCCAGGTTTGAATCCCCATTCTGGAGCAGGAACTTGTACTCAAAGCTCTCTCCTGCCAGGTGAGTGGGTTATACTGGGATGGGTTGCTCTCAATCTCTCCTGTTGAACCTGTTCCACTTTCTATGAATGCTTAAATATTCATTGGGCCAAAGAAAGACGCCCTGAGAACGACTGTATAGTCTAGTGATTACACATCTGTGAGGTAGGAGATGTGGATTCAAATTGAATCTAGTTATACAGTTCTAATAATGTGCTAGAAAATCGTATTTCATCTATTCATATATAGAAACATTTACTTTTGCTCCTTGTTCTGTTTTTAATTTGTATTATATGAATCGACTGTAATCTATTCACTCATTTTTTCTAAAGGTTGCTCTCAAAAAAATTTTCTCAGCCAAAATTATCAGGTACAATTTGCAAATAGTTTTGAGTCAACCAAAACTGCATTTTTCAGTAAATAACTATTCATGTGAAAAATTTTACCCAGCTCTACATACAAACCTTTCGATACCCCCCTTCCCCCCCGAGTTTGGAGAACTGCGCAGCTCTGAGTTGGAGGAGCATTGGGTGTTGATTTGCAAACAAGCAACCCTGAAATTCCACTTTGTTACAGAATTCCTTTATGCAGCTTGCTAGAACAAGGAGCTTCTGAAGTAGATTAGCATTTACCAAGGCTAACTGCTATTATATTTGTATTATTTGTTAAGTGCTGCTAGAAACACAAAGAAAGGCAACTCCCACCCCAGCTGAGCCTATAAATTAAATAGAACAATGATTGGACAAATAAAAAGAAGATCTCAGACGATCCCAAAGATAGGGCAAACCTAAGCCTCAATCCTGCACTCTAATTCCAGTAAAATTCCCTGAGTAAGGAGCACAGGGTCAGGTTCTTGAGTGGGTTTTTTTTTTTTTAATTTTGAAGACATTTAAATCAACTTTATTTTAACTTCTCAAGACCCTCCAATATTTTGTATTCCTTATGATTACTCCTCAATTTTATTCATAGCAATAAAGCCGAGTCACTGTAGCTGTTTACCAATTTGTTGGAGAACATCTGAACTGAATGGTGTTTTAACTGGGGAAATTTTATTCTAGTCTTTTTTTCTCATTTTACAAGTGCTTCCATGCAGCCTATAAGGTGACGAATTACCCAATGAAAGAACGTAGTAAAGAAGAGTTGGAAGCCTTGGAAAGGGTACTGCAGTTAAAGAAGATTGAGTCAGCTGATTTTAAGGTACAATCTCACTCCTCCCAACTCCCCAAAAAAGTAGGAAAATATGTTAACTCTGGGCCTTCTTCAAGAACATCTTAGCTATGCTTAAACAGGTAGGCGTTTGTTTCTAAGCTCCATTAGTAGCCCAAATAAAAGGCATTGTTTATGTTAGTACAAAAATATATTTCATTTTAAGCATTTCGTCTACATCCTAGAATTAGGGGTTAATTGTAGAATTGTACCTCTTGAACTGATTACTTTTAGGAATCCTATTAGCTATAAATGGAAGGACTAAGGGGCCTTTTCTACACAAATGATTCTGAGATAATAATGTATACAGTTGATCAACCTGCTGTGTTTTTGGATATTCAGATTCGGAAGGAGATTGTTGAGATTCAGTCTCAGGCTGTACCACCTAAGGAGGAAGGGGAGAAGGTGGAAGAAGAAGCTGTGACTGATGAGAGCACCTCCAATTCCCTGATCGGGAGCCTGAGTGCTCAGTTTGGGGGAGACACATCCATCTTATACCACCAAATGGACCTGCACACCAGGGAGGAGAAGATTAATCAGATCATATTACTGCAGGTGACCTCTTCATACATTCGTGTTACTGCATTGATACTATCACATGTACAGGTTCTCAGCCAATCAGAGGTGCTGTTAGATTCTCTCTCAGCAATATACTTTTCTGCTGAATGAAAGTTTTCCTTTTCCTCCCAGCTCATTACTCCACCCTTGTTTAAATCCCTAGATATCTCTATTATTTAAGAACTCCTTACTAGATGCCTAAAAAGCCACAATCCCACAACTGAGGAAGAAAGCTTTGCTGGTTAAAAAAACCGATATGGTTTAGAGGGGAAGTGAAGGTAGCTATACAAAATTAAAATATAATATATAGCAAATGGAAGAAAGGGGAAGTTGATAGAAAAGAATATAAATTATATGCTAGGAATTGTAGAACATTGATATGGGGAAACAAAGGGACACAAGGAGAAATCTATGGCCAGCAGAGTTAAGGACAATGAGAAGGAGTTTTTTAAATATATTTGGAACAAAAAGATCCTGACAATGATATTGTTCCCTTACTAGATGGAAGTGGTCGAATTATCAATAACAATGCAAAAAATATAGAAGTGTTCAATAAATATTTCTGTTCTGTATTTGGGGAAAAACAGATTATATAGTCTCATCATATGGTGATAACACTCTTTCCATTCCACTAGTATCTCTCAGAAGCTACGAAAGTTAGGCATTGTAAGATCAGCAGGTCCAGATAATTTGCATCCACGAGTTTTAAAAAAGCTGGCTGAGGAGCACGCTGGACCATTAATGATGCTTTTCAACCAGTCTTGGAGCACCAGGGAAGTTCAAGGAGACTGGAAGGAAGTTAGTGTGTGAGGTTTTTAAAAAGGATAAACAGGATGACTTGGGAAATTATAGGCCTGTCAACCTGACATCAGTCCTGGGCAAGATAATGGAGTGGCTGATGTGGGACTCGATTAATAAGAAATTAAAGGAGGGTAATGTAATTAATGCAAATCAGCATGGATTTATAGATGACAGATTCTGTCAAACTTGCTTTTTTTTAAAATGAAATTACAAGTTTAGTTGATAAAGGCAATCGTATGCACGTAATATACTTAGATTTCTGTAAGGCGTTTGACTTGGTAGCACATGACATTTTGTTTAGAAAACTTTAGCTGATAGGTCTCAAAATGTAATTGTAAAGGGGAAATTATCAGATGTGTTTCTGGTGGAGCCCCACAGGGATCAGTTCTTGGCCCTATCCTAGTTAACATTTTTATCAATGACCTGGAAGAAAACATAAAATCACTGATAAACTTTGCAGATGACACAAATCTTGGGGGAGTGGTAAATAATAAAGAGTTACGGGTCACTGATTCAGATTGATTTGGATCTCTTTGTAAACTGGGTGCAAGCAAACAATGTGCATTTTAATACAGCTAAATGTAAATGTATATACATGTATAAGAACAAAGAATGCAGGCCATACTTATAGGATGCGGGACTCTATCCTGGGAAGTAGTGACACTGAAAAAGATTGGAAGGTTGTGGTGGATAATCAGCCGAACACGAGCTCCAAATGTGATGCTGTGGCCAAAAGAGCTAATGTGATCCTGGGATGCATAAACGGGAATCTCAAGTAGGAGTAGAGAGGTTATTTTATCTGTTTGTGGCACCGGTGCAACTGCTGCTAGAATAGTGTGTCCAGTTCTGGTGCCCTTAATTCAAGAAGGATGTTGATAAATTGGAGAGGATTCAGAGAAGAGCCATGACCCGACCCCCCTCAGTTCCTTCTCAACTATCCTCGGCCTGAGAGGAGCTCCCAGCAGTGTGATAGCTGATATCTTTATTTACTGTGTAGAATAGTTAGATTAATTGTTTGTTTACTAGTTATATTTACTTACCCTTTTTCTTCCTCTATTATTTTTCTATAAATTTTTTTTTCATGTATTTCTTACCCTTACCATAGTTCATGTTCACACTCAGGGCTGAACTGCCATAGTTCAAGCCATGCCTGGTTCACCAGGCTTCAAGTGCTGCCTTTCCTGCCAGGAAGCGATCCTGGTATCGGACAGTCCTTTTCTATGCGTGCGATGCTTAGGTGAGAGACACATCCCACAAAAGTGTTCTCACTGCAGCAACTTAAAGGCTCGCCAGGAAGGACAGAGACCTGCATCTAAAATTTATCCTTATGGCAAAGTCTCTGCACCCGGCATCTGATCCCAGCTAGCAGATCCCCTCTGGACAGCGTTCTGCAGAGGCTTCACCCTCCTTTCAGAGGAAGGCTCATTCCTCACAAAAAGTAACGAGGAAAAGAGCAGCAACTTCTCCTTCTAAAGAGCCACCGAAAAAGAAGCAGTCTCTGTCTCATTCCTTATCGTCAGTACCGACCGCACCATGGCTGAGTACACATGAAGCACTGGGTTCCTCCGGCACTGCCTGTGCCGTGACATCTGCCAAACCCAAGCGGGCAGACTCTGAATCGAGAGGCAAACAAAAGCCCATCTCCTCCGTGGCGGTACTGATGGAACCGCCCGAAAGACACAGCACGGAGACTGTCCCCACGGACCATGGGACCATCACCTGCTCCAGCAATGTCGGCACCAACGTCTGCAGCTGCAACAGCACCGTCGGCACTGACCACTCCGGCGTCAAAACCATCAGCACCATGCCACTTTCCGCAACACAAGGACTTGCTTGTGTCATCAGCACCTGAATCCCAGCTCTTTGGCACCGACATATCCCTAGTACGCACGGTACCAGGCCAACCTGCTTCACCACTGGCCCCTCCATTTTCCTGCGAGAAGGAGGATAATGAGCAGCAGGGTGTTTTCTTATCGCACCACTCCTCTCCTCTCTAATCTACTGCAATAGGATCACCTGTATGGCCGACACCTCATCCCAGACCTGATACCCAGACCTGGTATGGCTACCCATGGATCCCTCCACCTATGCCATTACCAATACAGTGGCCTTATTGGGACCCCTTGGCTGCATACAGGAGGCAATATCCCAAGCCCCCAAGTCCCTACAGGAAAAGGATTTGATCTCCTCCACAATCCTCTGTGGGTGCACCATCAGAGCCCATTGAGGGAAAGCTTTGAGGAACAAGAGGAAGCCCTGGAATAGGACAGGACACCACCTGACAGTATTTCTTCTTCTTCCCCAGATGAGGCCATAATGCCTCCACCACCCACAGGCGCGGACGATTTCAAACACTTTCAAGAACTCTTCAGGAGAGTTGCAGACCGCCTAGAGATCCCTCTAGAGGAGGTCCCAGAGTCCCATAAGTTGCTAGACATCCTGAAAACCTTGTTGGCTTCAAAACTAGCGCTTCTAATAAACAATGCGCTCATGGAACTAGCCAAAACCATATGACACACCCTGGCAACAATGCCGCTTACCTGCAAGAGAGACGATAAAAAGTATTATGTCCCCTCAAAAGAGATGGACTTTTTATTTTCCCACCTAGCACCAAACTCTTCAGCTGTCCACCACTCAACCAGCAATAACAATATAGATCCATCCCATATGACAAAGAGTGGAAATGACTAGACCTTTTTGGCCACAAGGCCTACTTATCAGCAACCCTGCAATTTCGAATTGCCAGTTACTCAGCATTGATGGCAAAGTACAACCATGTAAACTACTCCAAACTTGCAGAATTTATTAATGAGATCCCAGAAGAGAAAAGGGACCAATTCAAATCCATCTTAACTGAGGGTCAACTGTCCAGAAGCGTTGTGGCTTCACCTATCCTGTTTGCCCAAGGAAGTACAGTCCACCGTGGAGAACCTCCCCTTTGATGGCCAGAAACTGTTCACCTCGAAGACAGATGATGCCCTCCACACCCTGAAGGACTCTCAGGCATCTCTCTGCATCTTGGGGATATACACACCTGCAACCAAAAGAAAACAGGGTAGATATTATCCCTACTAGAGCACACGATCTGCCCCATATACTCAACAACAGAGACACTACAGGACACAGCGACGGAGGCAGAGACCTTCGAGGTGTCAACCACATCTACCTCAATCATCTGCTTCTCAACCATCCTCTGCTAAACAACAATTTTTGAGGGTTTGGTCAAGAGTACAAGCAACGTCCTCCACCCACAAGTGCTGACACCATCGTCCATCCCCCATTTTGGTCACTGTTTGACCCCTTTCTATTTGGCATGGACTTCCATCACCACAGACAAATGGGTCCTAGAAATAATCCATACAGGCTATGTGATACTGTTCATCTCCATCCCCCCTACCCACCCTTCCTCCTCAGTCCCTCTTTAGGGACCCCTCTCACAAACAACTTCTACGGCAGGAAGTAAACCACCTATTACATCTGGGCACCATAGAACCAGTACTATCTCAACACAGAGGGAAGGGCTTTTATTCCCAGTACTACTTAACCCAGAAAAAGAACAGAGGATGGAGGTCTACTCTACACCTCAGAAAACTCAACAGATTTGTAAAGGTCCAGCAGTTCCAGATGGTCACACTAGCAACAATAATACCAGCACTGGAACAGGGAGACTGGTTTTCGGCCCTCGACCTCCAAGACGCCTGTTTCCAGGTTACCATACACCCCGCTCACAAGAGGTTTCTCAGGTTTACTCTGAGAAGCTTATTTCCCTGCTGCCACTAGTCTGGCAATAGCTTGTCTCTCTCTCTCTCCCTGATTGTCTCTGCCCAGAGGAGGGGTTTTTAAAGGCCTCAGGCAGCCCTTAATTGGATTCAGGTGTCCCTAATTGATCTGAGGTAACCCCTTCTCAGCTTGTAGGAAAAAGGGCCTTTAACATTCTAGGGCTAACATATCGGCCTTCCAGAACCCTTTTGCAGCTGTACGGCCTGACTTTGTCACAATACAGACAACATTGCCTGCATGTTTTATATAAACCAACAGGGAGGGGTGCATTCACACTCCCTATGCACCGAAGCTATGAAACTATTGTTTATCCGGCACAATGTCAGAATCTCAGCCTCGACTTTCCAGGTCGTCAAAATACTACTGCAGATACACTGAGCAGAGAATTTTCCTGGGATCATGAATGGGAACTAAACAATGTGGTCCTACAGAACATATTCTTCAAACACTGGGGTCACCCATCCATCGACCTTATCACAACATCCCAGAACTACAAATGCCCACAATTCTGCTTGAGAGCAGGTTTGGGGCCCCAATCCCTGAGTGATGCCTTCCTCCTCAGCACCCCTGTGATACGTATTCCCCCGATCCCTCTGTTATCGAGGGTGATACACAAAATATGTACCAATAAGGCCAAAGTCATATTGATAGCCCCAATGTGGCCCAGACAGACTTGGTACTTGTACCTATTGCAGATGATGGTATGCACACCACACACCCTTCCACCTCTGCCAGACCTTCTCTCACAGGATGCTGGACAGGTTCACCACCCATACCTGGAGAGACTTCATCTCAGAGCATGGCTCCTATATGGTTCCATCATGATGAACTAGCATGTTTGGAACAAGTTAAAGACATATTACTAAACAGTAGAAGGACAACCATGCACAATATTTACCTTCACAAATGGAAGAGGTTCTACATATGGTGCCAGAACAAACAAATTAGTGCCATTTCTGCACCCCTACCCTTGGTATTGGACTATATTTTAAGACTAAAGACATCTGGACACTCCATTAGCTCAATCAAGATACATCTCGCGGGCTATTCATGTTTTCACCACAAGTTCGACAGGATATTGATATTTGCCCATCTGATCACCAAACATTTCCTTGCGGGTATCAAGAATTTTACCCTGAAGTGCGTGTACCTACTCCACCTTTGGACTTGAACTTAGTGTTCTGCTGCCTCACCGGACCCCAATTCAAACCTTTAGCAACATGCTCTCTGATGCATCTATTGATGAAGGTGGTGTTCTTAGTGGCTATCACATCAGCCCACCCAGTGGGCGAATTAGGGGCCCTCATGGCACACCCACCTTACACCATCTTTTTCAAGGACAAGGTCACACTAAGACCCACCCAAAATTTCTACCTAAAGTATCTTCCTCCTTCTACATAAATCAACCAGTCCATCTTCCTCATTCTTCTCTAAACCACACGGGAACGCGCAGGACTCAGTACTACATACTCTAGACATTGGGTGCGCACTAACATTCTACCTCGACAGAACTAAGCTTTTCAGAAAATCTCCGAGGCTTTCCATTTCCACGTTCTAAAGGCTCTGCTATCTCTACACAGAGACTATCTAAATGGATCTCTGGGTGCATCCACCTCTGTAATCAACAAAAGAATCTGCAATCCCCATCAGAGATCAGAACTCACTCTACCAGATCACTTTCAACCTCAGTGACCTTTCTAAACAACGTACCAATCATAGACACATTTAAAGCAGCCACTTGGGCTTCCGCACACATGTTGGCATAGTGTTTTGTAATCGACCAGAGTTCAAGATCGGATGCATTCCTAGGTCTTACAGTGTTATCATCGCTTACACAGGCAACTCTGAAGCCCCTTCCATCCAATGTGGGGCACTGCTTGATAGTCACCTGAAGTGGAGCATCCACAGGGACGTTCCTCGAAGAAGAAGAGAAGGTTACTCACCTTGTTCAGTAACTGAAGTTCTTCAAGATGGATGTCCATGTCCCTGTGAGTGCTCCACTACCTCCCCTCCTCCTCTCTACTTTGGAGTTCAATTTCCAGACTCTACAGTAGAAAAGGAACCAAGGCGGGTTGATTAGCGCACGCTAGATAGGCACCGACAGCGGTGTGAGATGGGGAGTCATAGAATATCAGGGTTGGAAGGGACCTCAGGAGATCATCTAGTCCAACCCCCTGCTCAAAGCAGGACCAATCCCCAGACAGATTTTTACCCCAGTTCCCTAAATGGCCCCCTCAAGGATTGAACTCACAACCCTGGGTTTAGCAGGTCAATGCTCAAACCACTGAGCATGTGCGACCCAGACAGACATTGCTGCTGAAATTCTCTGATCAAAGGCACAGGGACGCACCAACACCTGAAATGGAGCACCCACAGAGACCCCATCTCAAAGAACCTCAGTTACTGCACAGGGTGAGTAACCTTCTCTTTCTGCTGAATTGTATCTCATCTGCCATACAGCTTTATTACTGATTATGCCAGAAATAGGTTAGACAATCATGAACAAAAATATTTATCGTTACACACAAATTGTATGTGGCTAGTTATCTTGAAACATGCATTTTGAATAGCCTAATTCAACCACTGATTATGTTTCATTCTAGTATAATAGGCATAATAAGAAAGATGCATATTTTTCTTCTTAATAATCCAGTTCTCTTCATTGAGATAAATTATATAGACTGAAGAAAGACTTTATCCACTTAGAATACAGGCTTTTAAAAATCATTATTTGGCCTCTGCTTTGTTTCACACACTTGAAACACTTACTAATTTCATTGGTACTTTATGTGCATATGTACTATATAATGCTGTTCCATTCAGAAGCAATTTTAAGTTTGCAGACTACAGCACTCAAAAGCAGGAAATAAAATTAAGATTGCCCACACAACCTAAACTCTGCTGCCTTGTGTATATGTCTTGTCTTATAGTCTCTAATCATGTATTCACAGGTTAGAAACCAATGTTTGCCTAATTTTTTTAATCTATTTTTGACAGTGTTATTTACAACAGCAGCTTTGCCAGCTGGTATGACGTATCAGAAAAGGCATGGAATAGTTCTAAGAAATCAGAAGAAATGAGCTTTAGCTCCGCCTGCCATTTCCCCCATCTCAGTTAGCATTCGCATGCTTAATAAAACTAGAATGTTGCATTTAGGGCTATTATGAAGGAGGTGTGGTAGTTTACACACACAGTCACACACAGGCACACTTGGTTTTCTGTCTTCTGACTTGTTGGTGAGTGGTGTCCAGTCAAGAAGGATGTGACCCTTTCAGTGTTGCCATTTCCTTGTGTTGTATTTCAGGACATCATTTACAAAGTGAAAACTGCCTTTAATAAGGAGTTTGACACCGTTGCTCGACAGAAGGAGCAGGAGATTGCACGTGTAAAGGAAAGGAACCTGAGGATCCAAGAAATCGTAGAACAGCTCGAACTCCAGGAGGTGGTCTGGGAGCCAGCTCTGACAGATGATGAGATACCAGAGCACGCTCTCACTGTCCAGGATTCAGAGGTAACTGAAAAATAAATTGTTCCCTTTTATCCACTTGTGCAAACTTAGTTCTCTGGTTCTCCATCATTTCAAGCCATTATGTCAGTATAAAGAAAGTGGCCATAAAACTGATGTGTCCATGTACACATTCACCCTTTTTTGTACTCTGCATTACCTTGGATGTTCCAGGTTTTGGTGGAAGATTCTGAATAATTCTGTCTGTAGAGTGGAAAGAAATTTGTAAAAAATCTCTGTAAAAAAGTTACATTTTGTGCTTGTGAAGATGCTAGACTAACATCTCTGGAAAACAAAGCCTTCTGTTTATCCATAGAACATGTACAGCATGGCATGGACAGTAGACTCAGTTACCGTGCCCGGACAACATGCCAAAACCCTGACCTGGAGGGACCACCTCTGTGGCAGAGAGAGCATGGTTTAGTTTCTCTGTTCATCTCTGAGTCCCATACAGTAGTTACCAGTAAGGGTGTTAATTGTGAAGTGGATACCTAGCCACTAGAAACCGGACTGAGATCACTACTTTGTTTCATATACGTCATTGAACAGCCATCAGATGGTAACAATTTTGTTGCTGCAAACCTATGATGGATTGTGATGGGACTTAGAGTGAAAGTCTCTTATGTTGTTTCACACATTTGTTTTTTCAATGTGATGTCTTCATAGGCAATCATTTGCCTTCAGTGCAGTGTCTGAATATATCCCAAATCGGCGGTTTTTGCAGATGCTAGTATCTGTCACTTTGGTGTCAAAGCATAGATAGCATAGTACCTCTAAATTCAATTAGCAAGTTATGAATCATCACAGAATTCCTGGCACACACTACTCTATTAATCTGATCTACACTTTTTCTCTCTGTCTTCTCTCCCAAAATGAGATTTGGTTGCAGGATCCTCTTTCATTTCAGGTTCGTGCATTCCTCTACATCATGTTAGTCCTGGAAACCCACATGACATCACCTTGTTTTGTGTGACATACACACTAGTGGTGGTATTTTTGCCAAATGTAGAATGTACTCAGAGTCCATGGGTTCTAGATCTAGAACAGAACTTGAGCCTTTTAATGTTTGACTTAAGTGTTGCACTATAACTGGAGGCGGAGTAATACAAAACCGTGAAGGTGAGGACACAGGGAGCTTGAATCTACAGCAGATAAAGGAGTCAGTGATGGGATACAAGGAAGGGAGTAATGTTAGTGGTGTGGTTTTACATTAGTTAGATGAGGGAGATGTTCCAGTCCCCTCCATTCCAATACAACTCTACCTCGATATAACGCTGTCCTTGGGAGCCAAAAAATCTTACCGCATTATAGGTGAAACCGCGTTATATCAAACTTACTTTAATCCACCGGAGTGCACAGCCCCGCCCATCCGGAGCGCTGCTTTACCGCGTTATATCCAAATTCGTGTTATATCGGGTTGCGTTATATGGGGTAGTGGTGTACCTCAAAACCCAGATGCATAACATACAAAACACAATCTACAGGAGAAAAAATGGAAAGAGCTTATGTTTTATTAGTGTAGAGCATGGCTTTTGGACTATGCACAGAGAAATCTGTACTGTATATTCACAAGAGAGTGAACATTTTGAGGAGTATTACTTAGAGCAGCGATACAAAGAAATAAGCATGCTAGCCCATATTATTATGTTTTTCTAAAAATTCATTGTCAGTTCTGTGAAAGAACCTACCCAGAGGAAAACCTGAGCTGATTCTCTTTGTCTTCACAGATTAAAGTTGAAAAATACCTTACCCCACAGCAGAGAGCGAAAGCGGAGATGATGGCTAAGATTGAAATGGAAAGACGTCTTGCTGCTCTGGTACTTTTGCTGAAGCAGTATTTTACTTGCTAAATATTCCATTATCTTCCATTTTGTTTAATAATGTTAATTTTGTATCGGTACATTCCACTCACTTAGCATTAGGGAATTATTGCAATTATAGTTAAATATATTACAGTCCAGTTCCTTCACCATCCTTTACAATCAGAACTAAATAGAGACCATAGAATCATAAAATGTCAGGGTTGGAAGGGACCTCAGGAGGTCATCTAGTCCAACCCCCTGCTCAAAGCAGGACCAGTCCCCAACTAAATCAGATCTTATGGAGGAAGGAAGGGTTTAAGTTAGGGGTGCTATTTAAAAAAATATTTAGTGTTGGTGAAAGGTGTCAGCTTGACAGATTTTAAGACTGGATAGTGTTCTAAAAGATATGCTGTAGCTCAATCAAAAGTTATGGGCTTGATGCAGAAATTTTTGGGTGAGGCTTTTTGGCCTGCGTTTTGCAGGATTCAGACTAGATGATCACAATAGTCCCTTCTGGCTTTAAAAAGTATGTATCTGCGCCAGCCTTGAAGAAATATCTGGCCACAGAATAGGTATAACATAGGCAGTGATAATGGAACTTCCCTCACACTAACCTGCCAACACCTTGACCACCTAATAAGAGTAAGTAGGTCATGCCTGTGCATCCATTGACAAAACAGTCCCTAACCTTTCTGTAATTCTTGTTCTTCGAGATGTATTGCTTATGTCCATTCCACATTAGGTGTGTGCACACCGCGTGCATAGTTGCCGGAGTGGTATCTGTCGGGCTGGCTCTAATACCCTCTAATGCTGTGTGCTCATGGGCCAGTATAAGGGGCCCAGCCAGCCCCACACCTTCTCAGTTCCTCCTTGCCAGCTAACTCCAACTGAGGGGAAGGAGGATGGGTCGTGGAATGGACATGAGCAACACATCTCAAAGAAAAATGATGGAAAGGTCAGTAGCTGTTTTTTCTTCTTCGAGTGCTTGCTCATGTCCATTCCATGTTAAGTGACTCCCAAGTGGTACCCAAGGAGGTAGGTTCAGAGTTCATGGACATGTGGTTTGCAACACTGCCCTACCAAATCTGGCATCATCTGTAGCCTGCTGGGTGATGGCATGGTGGGAGGAGAAGGTATGTACTGATGACCAGGTCGCTACCCTGAAAATGTCCTAGATTAGGACCTGGGCCAGAAACTCCGCTGATGAAGCCTGAGCTCTCGTCAAATGAGCAGTCAAGATGGCAGGTGATGAGACATCCACCTACTCATAGCACGTGCAAATGCAGCAAGTGATCCAGGATGAAATTCTCTGGGCTGAAACTAATAGGCCTTTCATCCTGTCTGCTACTGCCACAAAATGCTGCGTGAATTTACGGAATGGCATGGTCCTTTCTATGTAGAAGGCCAGATGTGAAGATGCTCCTCCTCCACATTCTTATGCAGTTCTGGGAAGAAAACTGGCAGAAAAATAGCCTGATTACTATGAAATTGCAAAACCACCTTCGGGAGGAATGCGGAGTGGGGGCAAATTTGTACCTTGTCCTTAAAGAACACCGTATACAGGGGTTCGGATGTAAGGGCCCTGATCTCTGAGACCCTCCTGGCTGAGGTAATCGCTACCAGGAAGCCGGCCTTCCATGATTGATATGACAAAGGGCATGATGGCAGCAACTCAAAGGGAGGGCCCATGGGCCTTGACAGGACCAGGTTTAGGTCCCACGGGGGAATGAGTTCATGAATTTGAGGGTAAAGTCTCTCTGAGCCCTTGAGGAAGCGTATGGACATTTCATGAAAAGAATGACCTACCATCCACCAGAGGGTGGAAGGTGGAAATGGCTGCTAGGTGTACCTTAATCGACGAAGTGGCTAGGCCCTGTTGTTTCAGATGAAGCGGATACTCCAGCATGGACTGGAGAGATGACCTAGCGGGTGAGAGGCCTCGTTGGGATGACCACATGGAAAAACGCTTCCACTTGGCAAGGTAAGTCATTCTAGTATAGGGGTCAGCAACCTACGGCACGCGTGCCAATTTTTCGTGGCACGGGCTGAGCCGCTCAGCCCACCGCCGCTCTGGAGTTCCCGCTGCCGGTTCCTGCCAGCCGGGGTCCCGCTGCGGGTCCAACTCAGCACCCTCTGCTGGCCTGGGGTTCCTTCCCCCAGGCTGGCAGCGGGCTGAGACCCCAGCTGGCAGGATCCGGTGGTGGAAACCCCAGAGCGGCGGCGGGCTGAGCCGCTCAGCCCGCCCCACTCTGGAGTTCCCGCTGCCGGCTCCTGCCAGCCGGGGTCCAGCCACTGGTCTCACTCAGCACCCTCTGCCGGCCTGGGTGAAGGAACCCCAGGCTGGCAGCGGGCAGAGACCTCAGCTGGCAGGAGCTGGGGGCAGAAACCCCAGAGTGGCAGCGGGCTGAGCCATTTGCTGTTCTGGGGTTCTGGCTGCTGGCCCCTCGCCAGCAGGGGTCCCCACCACGCAGCTCCACTCACCTTGCTTCCGGTTGGAGGCTCCCTTGCAGACAGGGTCCAGGCCTCCAGCCCTGCTCAGGCCTACCAGCCACCTACTCCACTCACCTCAGCTGCCAATCTTGGTTTCCAGTCGCTGCTCAGCCTGCTTTCTGGCCTGGAGTCCCAGCAGGCCACCCTGGGCTCTGCTCCTGGCCTTGGATCAGTCCTCTTCATCCTCCCCGCTGTGGCCCACTGTCCCCAGCCTGGGACAGTGAGGGTTGCACACCAGGCAAGAGGGGGTGCAGCTCAGCACCCCCATCTTAAAATTGCTTATCTTAGACCACACTGCGTTTGACCTTGTGCCTGCCTTCTATCGCCATTTTTTTTCCCACTGAGAGTTGAAGGGAACATTTGACAAAATGGCAGCTCCTAAGAAAGCGAAACTAGATGTCTGATCATTTCAGCCTGCTTGGACAGACGCATTTGGATTTATTGAAAAGAAGGACCGTGCTATTTGTGCTTTCTGTTATGAAAGTGTTGTTTGTCGCACATCAAGTGTTCGACGACATTTTGAAATGAAGCATGAGAAAACCTTTCTTGACGAAGCAGACAAGACTGAATCAATCAAAAAGGCAGTAGCAGCCTATGAGAAGCAAAGCAGAGTTTTTAAAAGCTTAAGTGTAAGTAAAAATCAAGCTATAGAAGGAAGTTACAAGATTGCACAGTGAATTGCAAAAAACGGAAAGCCATTTACAGATGGGGAATATATAAAAGAAGTTTTTCTCAGCAGTTCGGAGATTTTGTTCAATGATTTGCCAAATAAAGATACGATCATATCTAGAATAAAAGAACTGCCTGTCTCTGCCAGAACAGTTGAGAGACGCATAAGTGAAATGGCAGAAAACATTAAGGAAAAGCAGACGACTGCATTGAAAGACACAGCAGTGTTTAGTGTTGCAGTTGATGAGAGCGTGGATATAAACGACGTTCCACGTTTGGCAGTTGTTGCAAGATATTGTGCTTCCGATGAAATCCAAGAGGAACTTTGTTGCCTAAAACCCCTGCATGGCACAACAAAGGGGGGAAGATATACTGGAAAGTTTTGTAAACCATTTTGAAGAACGAGGAGTTGACATCAGAAAAATATTTTGTGTGACAACAGATGGTGCTCCTGCCATGGTTGGAAAACAGAAGGGATTTGTAAAGTTACTTGAAGATCAAATTGGCCATCCGACAGTCAAATTTCACTGTATCGTCCATCAAGAAAACCTGTGTGGAAAAATTTCTAATTCAGAGCTTAATAATGTGATGAATACAGTGGTGCGAATTGTGAATTTCCTTGTTGCTCGATCTGCTTTGACTCACAGACAATTTCAAGCACTGCTAGAAGAGATGGACAGTGCTTATAATGACATCCCACTTCACAGCAACATTCGGTGGCTAAGTCGTGGCACGGTTTTGGTGCGCTTTGTAAACTGTTTTGAGGCAATCAAGGCCTTTTTGTCGGAAAAAGAACAAAACTACCCCGAACTGGATGATGACAAATGGCTGTGTAAGCTCATGTTTCTAACTGATATCACTGCTCACCTAAACGAATCAACCTTTGTCTCCAGGGTGCAGGGCAAACAGTTCTGGATCTTTATGAAGCCTGGAAAGCATTTGTTGTGAAACTAGCAGTTTTTTCCAGGGATATTCAAACTTCTACTTTCCGCTACTTCCAACACATAAAAGAGCAATCGACACGTTGCACTGTCAGTGTCAATGAGATTGGAAAGTACATGCAAGAACGGGAATCAGAATTTTCTGACAGATTTCAAGATTTCCAGCGATTTGGCCCAATGCTTTCTTTTCTAATTAAACCTGAAAAGTTCAACGAAAGCGACTTGGATTTGTCTGTATTTCAGTGGATGGGTGTTGAAGATTTTGAAATGCAACTTATTCAGCTAAAAAGCTCAGAATTGTGGACATCAAAGTTTGTGGATCTGCGGAGCGCACTTGAAGCTACCGAGAGAGATCATGGGGCCTCTATTCTGACCTGCTGGACATCCGTGCCAGTGAAATTTAACTGTTTGAAGAAAATTGCATTTGCAATGCTTTCAGCATTTGGATCCACATACCTGTGTGAACAGGTATTTTCACACATGAAATCTGTCCTCTGTCCCTCTCGGACCCAGTTAACAACTGATCACTCAGAAGCCTGTGTGCAGCTTAAAGTATCCAAATACGTGCCAGACATTGGAAAACTCAGCAAGGAAAAGCAAGGACAAGGATCACACCAAACTGATAAGAGCTGCATTTTAATTTAATTTTAAATAAAGCTTCTGAAACATTTTGAAAACCTTGTTTACTTTACATATAACAGTAGTTTGGTTATGTATTATAGACTTATAGAGAGACCTTCTAAAAAGCGTTAAAATGTATTACCGGCACGCGAAGCCTTAAATTAGAGTGTATAATGAAGACTCGGCACACCACTTCTGAAAGGTTGCCGACACCTGTTCTAGTAGATGGTTTCCTACTACCTAGCAATACCTGGTGGACATGCTCCGACCAGCCAGCTCAACCATGGAGCTTCCACATGGTCAGGTGGAGGGCCTTGAGGTTCGGGTGGAGCAATCGGCCGTGATCTTGTGAGATCAGGTCTGGGAGGGGAGGGCATGGCAATGGGGTCACTACTGACATGTCCAATCACGTGCTGAACCGGGGCTGGTGTGGCCACGCTGGGGCTATGAGAGTAACCTTTCTTCTGTCCCGCTTGACTTTGAGTAAGACTTTACGCATGAGAGGAATGGGAGGAAATGCACAGAACAGATGCTTTGTCCAAGGAGGCAGGAAGGCATCTGTGAGCGAGCCTGGGCTGCACCCAGACAGAGAGCAAAACTGTTGTCTCTTTCTGTTTTGCTTGATTGTGAACATGTCTATGAGGGGAGTCCCTCACGAATGGAAGATGATCCTGGCTATATCAGGGCAAAGGAACCACTCGTGGTGAGAGGAGAAAGATCTGCTGAGGTGATTTTCCAGATTGTTCTGGGCTCCCAGAAGGTGAGACGCTTCAAGCTGGATTGAGTGCTTCACACAGAATTCTCACAAGCGAATAACCTCTTAACAGAGTGGGAAAGAGCGTGCACCTCCCTGCCTGGTGTTGTAAAACATGGCTGCCGTGTTGTCCATAAGAACTTGCACAATCTTGCCTGCAATCTGGGGTAAAAACACCTGGCGTGCTAGGCAGACCACTCTGAGCTCTCTGACATTTATGGCCAGGAGAGCTCCTCCTGGGACCACAGACCTTGAGTCCTGAGGTGCTCAAGGTGAGCCCCCCAATCTAGCTCGGGTGCATTCGGGATACTGAGTTTTGGAGACTGATGAAGGGAATGCCCAAGCCTACCGACCAGGGATCCCTTCACCAGTCGAGGGAGGTGAGGACTGGGACAGGAACTGTAAGCACCAAGTCCAAATGGTGATGGCTCAGTGAGTATACCGAGGACAGCCAAGCTAGAAGGGGTCTGAGGTGTGGGCTCGCGTGTTGCACAATGTATGTGCATGTGGCCATGTGACCTAAAAGCTTGAGGCAGAAATGAGCTGTCGTGACAGGGTGGGCCTTGACCTGCTATATCAGAGATGACATTGTCTGAAAGCGAGCCTCTGGGAGGAAGGCTCTGCCCCAGGTGGAATCGAGCACTGCACCAATAAACTCTATCCTCTGGATGGGAACAAGAGGTGACTTCTGCTCATTTATCAATAGCCCCAGGGCTCAGAAGGTAGCTTGGATCAGGCAGATGCTGGCTGTCATGTAGGCCTTGGACCAGCACTTGATCAGCCAGTCATCGAAGAAAGGGCAGATACGTACCCCTCACCTCTGAGGAAGCCTCCACCACTGCCATGCATTTTGTGAAAACCTGAGGGGCTGCTGACAGGCCGAAGCGGAGGACGATGAATTAGCAGTGGGTCAGATTCACAATGAACCTGAGGAACCTTCTGTGGCCCTGAAAAATGAAGATGTGGAAATAGGCATCTTTCAAGTCGTGGGAAGAGTACCAGTCCCCTGGATCCAGGGAGGGAATAATGGAGACCAGGGAGACCATGCGGAACTTCAGTTTCTTTAGATAATTGTTGAAGCAATGCAGGTCTAAGATGGGTCAGAGACCCCCTTTGGCCTTCAGGATTAGAAAATAATGGGAGAAAACCCTTTCCCTCTCAAGTTCTGAGGCATCTCCTCCATGACCCCTAGGAGGGCTTGCACCTCCTGGACTAGAAGTTGCTCATGAGGAGGATCCCTGAAGAGGTACTGGGAGGGTGGAAGAAAACTGAAGGGTGTAACCTTCCTCCACTATACTCAGCACCCAATGGTCCAAGATTATGAGGGACCATGCTGGGCTTAAGTAGGAGAGTCAGTGTGAAAACAAAGGGGAGGCAGGATCTGGGATGTGAAGTGACATAACGCCCTCAGGCGCCCCTTCAGAAGTTGTGCTTGGAGTCTCCTGGATATCTGTGAGGGTTCAGTAGAGAGGCTGAAGTGGATGGGGGCGGTTGCCTGTGTTTATAATCCCTGCTTCATTTCTTAAACAGGTCCTGACGTGGTGGCGGAGACGAGAAGCTGACTGGTTGCTGAGATCTGAAGTGCTTCCTCAAAGGTGTTGGATCACAAAGGCACAAAATCTTGAGGGTGGCCCTAGAGTCCTTCAGGCCGTGGAGCTTTGTGTCTGCCTGTTCAGAGAACAGGGAAGTTACCTCAAACGGGAGGTCCTGAATGGACAGCTGAATGTCCAGTGGTAGATCCAAGGATTAGAGCCAAGAGCACCTTCGCATGACTACCGCCGATGCCATAGTTCTGCCAGCCATGTCAGCTGTGTTTAGGGCCACCTGGAGGGGAGGGCTGGCTATAAGCCCTCTCTTCCTCCACAAGACTGCAGAAGTCCTGTCTGGACTCCTGGGGCAGTGAATCCTTGAATTTTGACAGGGAGTCCCAGACATTATAGTTGTACCTTCCTAGCAATGTCTGCAGGTTGGAAATGCAGAACTGTAACCCCCCAGTAGGATAAATCTTTCTACCAAACAGGTCCAGCTTCTTTGAATCCTTCGCCTTGGGGGCTGCACCCCGCAGCCGTTGCCTGTCTCTGTCGTTGGCTGCTACAACCACAAGGGATCCGTGAAGGGGAAGGGAATATAGGTACCCATACCCTTTGGCAGCAACAAAGTACTTTTTCTCTGCTCTTTTTGAAGTGGGGGGCAGAGAGGATGGGGTCTGCCATTGGTTTCTGACTGGACCCATAACAGTCTTGTTGAGGGGTAGGGCCACTGCGGCCAAGATGTCTCATGCTCTGGAAGGATTCTTTAAGCACCTCCACTTCCAGCCCTAGGTTCAGAGCCACCCTTTACAATAGCTCTTGGTGAGCTCTGAAGATGCCCTGAGGCGTCAACCCGCTCAACCCCAACTGCTTCATTTGGGGAGAAAGAGGCCTGCACTGGTGGGGGCCTTCCCCCTCTTCTTCTGCACTGACCACATCATGTAGTCCAAGTCCTGAATATTGGTACTGGGCTCGGTACCGAAGTCTGGGTCGGGTGCTGGTCAGTGTGACAGAGGAGCCCTTCTCTCAGACACCACTGAGTATGAGCATCTGAAAAGCAGACCCGGTACTGAGGGGAAAACCCCATGGATTCCAAAAAGGCCATTGAACCTGCATAGCCCACTGTCCACTGGGCCAAGCGCCAGGAAGGACGCCTTCACCAGGATCTGTTGGATGCCACTGAGGAAAAAAATCTCCAGCGACTGTGCACGCCTGACATGGAATGGAAATGAGCAAACAATCTAAGAAGAACATCCCTTCTGAAAAAACTAGGGTGCCCATTGTAGTGATAGTTGCTTGATAAATGGGCATCTGTCCACCAAAAAATCAGACTGAGATTGCTAGTGTATTTCACATAGGTCAGCATTTCATTCACTGGCGACATATCACAGATTCTCATTGGCACCGTAGAGGTGAAAGGCTTATGCCATCCAAGTACCCTGTTCTGCAGCATTTTCATTTCATTTGTTATCTTTTCCAGAACAGTGCAAGACAACGTGCCCTTTATGACATGATGAGTGGGGTCCTAGAAATCAAAAAGGAAGACATCTTGAAGATAGTGAGTTGTTTCTCTCATTTGATTTAAAGTAACAGTTGTTGTGATTAGAACTGAATAAAATTCACCATTTTTGAATTCTAACTGGAATTCCCAAGTATTTTAAAAGGAGAGAAATGGTGAAAATTTGCCTTAAGCACCACTCCTGAGAAAATGTTTTGTCATAAGAATAGTGTTGAAAGAGAAAACCTTTGATCTTTTTGTATAAATATGAATTTTCACTAGCAGTGCAAATATTTCTAAAGGATTAAGCAATGGAACAAGATAACCCAAGAGGTTGTGGAACTCTTATAATTGGAGCTATTCCAGGTGAGACTACACCTTGCTAACAGGGATGATTTAGGGACATTGAATCAGTCCTTCCACTGTACAGGAGAATGGATGGGAAGATCAATCCACTATAGTTCCCTTTCAAATCAGATGATTCTAGGAGACCCAGATTAAGCAGTGACCATAGGAATTTAGTGTGTCGGCTTCATTTGCTTCAGAGGTGACGTGGTAGTGCTGTAGAGTGAGTAGCAAGTATAGATACCTGACTTCTTTAATGGCTATTTCCAAAATGGGTTTTGGCCTTGATCTTAGGAGAGGCTGCTTCGCTCTACCTTCTACAGCAAAAGAAGCCTGATGCAATGATAGAGGGAGAAAACATCTGCTGTCAAAGTAAAATGGTGCTCTAGAGTGAAAAGGTAAAAGAGACCCAAGTACTCTGTCTAAAGCTGATGTGTTTTCAGGAAATGAAAGTTCATCTTGGCTTAGGAGTTAATTAAGGGATTTGTAATGGAAAAACTGATCTTTTAGCAATAATAGTAGTACTGAGCTTGCCGTAAAATTTCACTTGTATTTTATTGTACCTGACGATTTTTTGAGAGAGAATGAAAGCAAAAATGGCCATGTTACGCACACCATAACCATTGGTGCTGCTAGGAGGTGTAGTTAGTGCTCCATCCCATGCAGGTGCTGCAGGTTCAACACCGGTGTTACTCCAGGAAGTCAAGGACCATAAAATAGGGCCAAATCAGAGAAGCAGAGATATACAATCTTTGGGCCCAAGGCTTGTGTAGTTCTTCCAGCTGCTACTAAGATGAAGCTCAGAATAAACTTTGGGAGGTTTATTACTGAGGTGCTGTAGGTTCTTTTCCTCGGTGATCTTTAATGGAGAATTGATGTTGCTCATGAATTGTATGGCTGTTTTGATATCTTCAGGAGATTCCCGCACCTCCTTTTGTTTCTAAACCTGATGCCCTTTGGAATGAAGAAGAAAAGAAAGTATTCAAGGAATATGAGAAAAAAGTTAAGGAGCTGAATGAAGAAAGGGAAAAATACAGAAAGGTAAAATAAAATGAGACGGGTGATTTTGTTCAGGGTCCTTAAACACAGTTTCTTATTTTTCTCGGGATTTATTGATATGACCTCACCTCGGTTTCTTAAGGGAGGAAAAACCAGATTTATTTTAATAAAAATGCCAATAGGTGTTAAAAATTAACAAAGTTACCTGTGAAGCCCCAACTTAAAGAAGAAAAGATGAGGTTTACCTGTGATAACTAGCACATTCCAAGTCTGATTAAACTGCTTTATTGCTTTCCATCACAAATGTACAAATATTTCCAGAAAGATGTTTGGAATTCCATTAACAGAGCTGCAGGGCATGAGGATATCAGATGCACAGAATTTCACAATTTTTATTCTTCAAAGAGGAATTTGGGCAGCAGAACAGTCAGCCTTGCCACACCCTCATTCCAAATGTGTCATTTGTTGGGCCCTTTTGGCTGAAAGATCCTTTCTTTTTCTACTATCTTATAACATTGTCTCTGATACTTTTTACTCCAATACAACTTTTATGTGGTGGTGGAAATAAAGGGCTTGATCCTATGAAGCGCTGCACACTCCAATACCCATCATGCCTGGTTTAAACAAATCTGGGCTCCTTCTGTCTGTAATACTATCAATAATGTAATGATTCCCCAGAATTTAGCTGAATTTGATGGTTCAAAATAGAACCTAGCTAATTCTGAAACAGCTTTCTCAGCTCAGTAGTGCTAACTGGAATAAAAACTAATCTTTGGGTTATATTTTCAAGTGCCTAAGTGATGTAGGCTCCTGAGTCCCATTTTTAGGCTCCTCAGTTTCATTGCAAGTCAATGGTCAAAGGTATTTTACGTAATCTCTTTTTAAACAATAAAATAAAAAACCTATAGCCACACACTTTAAAGTTTTGATTTAAATAACTAGGTTTGGGTCTGATTCTCAGCTCCCATTAACTTCAGCAGGAGTAGAAGGAACTCAGCACCTCACAAGACGGTCCCTATATTGTCAGACCAGCATGACTAAAATTTGTTTTTTTGTAAACCTTGGATTTCCACCTGAGCAGAAGATAGTCAAGCTGGCATTCATGGCTTCTGAAGAGGAATGGTCTAATGATGTACATAAATGAGCCATTGTCAATTTTTATTGTCTGTTTTCTAGATATGTCATCACTGTATTATATTATTTATTTATTTACTTTATTTATTTGTATTGTGGTAGAACCTAGGAGCACCAGTCACGGACCAGAGTGGCACTGTACAAACATAGAACACAAAGACGGTCCCTACCCAAGTGCTCACTAGCTGTGCATCTCTCCACCCCTCACACATTTAAGTATGCACATTCTTTTAGCTTTAATACTCCTCCTTCCCCTTTGCCCCCCAGACACTAGAAACTGAATTGAAGAAACTTCAAACCTCCATTCAGGAAACAACACAAACTTTTGATGACACCGTAAGCAAGCTCTTTGAGCGGAAAGTTAAATCAGAGATGGTCATATACCAGGTAAGGCAGAGATCTTGGATTTCTTATCTCCATCTCCAAGCCACAAGAGTGTTGATCTTTCTTTCTCCTTACAATCTTTCCACAGGAGGAACTCAAAATAAACAACCTCCTTTACTCTTTGCTGTTGGATGAAGAGCTGAGCACAAGAGAAGCCGGACTGAATCACTTCCTTGACAAGAAGCGGAAGGAGAAGGTGAGTCCAGTACTTGGACTGTAAGACTCCAACTATTTGCATATGGAACCTGCTCTTTACAAATAAAAATGTTGCCCAAGCTGCTACAAATAATTTCCCCCATGATTTACACAGCCCTTGATCTATTTTTTTTATAAGGGTGGCAGAAGACTCCTGTAATAAAGACACATCTTCTTGGGTATACACTTCTCCCAGCTTGTCTGGAATTACATGTGTAAATTTCCATACCCTGAGGAAAGCATGCCACTATCTGTCAAATACACAATTTTAGTATCCTGTGGCAGTCTATAATCTGTCTGGTAGCACTGATAATGCCTTTGCTACAAGAACCTTGCACAAAAGGATATCTAATGTTGCCGTCTTTCTTAAAGAAGAAAGTGGTAAATTTGGAGAAATTTGAATTAATTTCCTGGAACTGAAGTTGTCGGGGTTTGCCCACCACTGACGAGCCATGCATAAGCCAACATAGTGACTGGAGTTCAAAACAAACGGGTTTCTGCACTTATACACAAGTATATTCAGGACTACAAATGTTCTAGAATGAAAATTCTGACTGCTTTGTCCTGGAAGCTCACCTATTAATCTGTTGTTGGACCAGTTCTACAGACGTGCAAACCTAGGGACCTCTTGCACTAGTTGATCTCACCTGTCATGCTATTCAGGGAGAGAGGCAGACTCTCAGGTAGCTAGGGACCACTGTCAACACATTACATTGCATCCTGAATTGCATAGTAAGCCATTGCAGTCTATAGAGCACTTGAATCATGTGCTTCTTATGACCAACCTCATTAAGCAGTTGGGTAGCTAAATTTTGCACCTGCTGACCCTTCTGTGTGGTCTTTATAGGTAGCCCCATATAGAAAGCCTCGCAGGAATCCAATTTAGAGATCAGACAGGCACATGACATATTGAGTGCTGTCTGTGTTGTCTGCTTAGGAGCATGTTACACCAGAGGTGAATTTAACCCAATTGTTGTATCTTAAGCTGAGAAAAGACGTCTCTTCAGCATGTGTAATATGTTTGAATAGCATTCCAACAGCTGTGTTTACTTTCAGTTCTGTTACTGAAATCCATCTGGTTTTGTTACAGCTCAGTACTTCAGAGGAGGTCCAGGTTGTACGAGCACAAGTTGATGCTTACAGAGAGACCTATGACAACTTAGTAGCTGAAGACAAAGTAAGAGTCTTAGTCATATGTTCAAGCAGATGCAATTGCAGAAAAAATAAAAAGAGGTTCAGTGCTACTCCTCCTCCAGAATATACAGTATTTAGGCCCCAGTTCAGTAGCACACTTAAGCACGTGAGTAGTTCCATACGGATTGATGAAACACTGAAGTCAATGGGAATACTCAGATGCTTAAGTTCTTGGCTAAATCAGAATCAGGCCTTAGTAAGTTTCTTGGGCAAGGACTGTATCTCTTGCAAAGTGCCAAGTCCACTGTCTATGCTTAACTTGCTAGTCTCACTTTTTGTAGACACTTCTCTGTGTTTTAAAAAGCACAGCAGACATGGTAAATTGTCATCTCTGAGAGAGGCAATCTATGAAATAGCCCGACTCCACCTAGCACCTTTTAGCATGCCTCATCATTAGTCTGTATTTCTAGGATAGTGCATGCGGATGTTTTGCTGTGTTTTTTTCCTGCTAGATTCTGGAACGTGGCTTTAAAAAGGAATTTTCTGATGTTCCGGTGCATCACATTGATCATCTTTTCAAACTTTACAAACGCCGACCAAGGTAAAATTCCCCTTTGACTCAAACCATTTTCTACATGTTATTATTTTTATCTTTATGATGGGAGGGGAGATTCTATTTTCTAAGCTCTGTGAAGTATTTTAGTTAGCAGTAGGCCATTGATTACTAACCTGTTTTTAAAACTGCACCTCTGTAATGACGATGGTCATTAACCATTATTGATGATCAGCTATCATATGGATGACTGACAGACATTTTAAAGCAATCTTCTCCTCTACCCACATTACATATGCTATTTAAAATGTGATTATAATAATTAATAAATAACCACCCAAAACATGTCTTTTTATGTGTTTTAAATAATATTTCCTGGTTGCATGCTGCAAGAGATTAAGAGAGTGATGTGAAGTGTTTTTAGTGCTACAAGACCTTGTTCTATGTAGCAAGTAAGAAGAAAGATAAAATATTTATTTTACTATGTATGCCATGGTTGATGACACCAGAGCCCAGAAGATCAAGATGCACCTTGACACTGCTAACCCTTATGGAGATCGGCCAGGCTCAGCCAGAGCTTACAAAGAGGCACTCGCCCATTTAATGAAAGCCATAGATGAAATGGATGACCCTGAAAACATGCCTGAGGGATTAGACCTGCCTGTCTGGGAACGTTTCTGTTTGGCTAGACGAACAAAAGTGGAAGGCGAACAGCTGGTACGTCAAGTGATTTCCATCAGGTTTATTTTGCTGTTGATTTACTGTTTGGAATATACTCTTTGATGCTTTGGGATCTTAACCCAGTGCATCAAGTTCTGAGGACTAAGCAAGTGGCAGCACAGTGTAGGTGATCTGTGAGTCCCTAGCTCACTTCCAGAGTGTAGTAGTCATCACTCTTTAGCAAAGCTCCCTCTTCCAGCAGATACAGAGCAGTATGAATGGCTTCCGAGGAAGCCACATCCTGCTCTCCTCTAAAGAAAGTAAGTGGGAAGTAGGAGCTGTCTCAAAGGATCCCTTCTCATTCTTCTTCCCCATCCCCACCAAAACAAAAGCAAATCATCAAGGTATTTTATACCATTCTGCATCTGTAACCTACATGTACATCTGCTGCATTTGTTTACCCTGATGAACGCTTCTTCCTTCCTAAAGCATCAAGAGCAAATCCTAATAACATGTTGATAGAAAGCCCTGTTACCCTATTAATTGAGGTTAATGTCACCAAGATGTAAACCTTAAATATCCAAAGATGTAGCTAAGATCCATTTTGCTTTGCTGAAGTGAGAAGGAAATGAGACCTTCCTTTCAAAGGAACAAAATATGCATCAGTAAAGGGTAAACTTTCCAAGTGCAGGTAAGGACTAAAACTGTGGACTTGCATGGACTTTAATGGGAGTCAGGAAGGTAGCTTGCTCCCTCATCCAGCTCTTAAAAATCTGTTCTTGTGAAGAATGAGCAAAAGTCTGTCTACCATTAAAGGTTTTCTTCTACATTTGCAAAGTTCAGTGTGTTCAAGCAGTTGTGATGTTGTTTGCTTAGGTGAAACGGAAAGCCCTGACGCTAGCGGAGATGCAGGCCTTTCTCCAGAAAAGGATGGATGATGATGAGAAGATAAGGATGGACATTGAAAAAATTTTAAATGAACTCAATATGTAATTTTGCTTATTATTCTTACATTCACATTCATCTACACTTTAGCACTCTGCTGACACAGAATTAAAAGTCTAGTGAGAAGTGTACAGTTCTGTACTGTATCACACTTTTCTCTAAAACTCATCTAAGAGACGTAGAGCCCAATTCTGAAAGAGCGTTGACTTCAATGAGAGGTTCAAACGCGTAACGCTGTATTTTTCTTATTCTATCAGCTACTACTACACCATCTGGTTCTCATCACCTTTTAGATGAGAGTGTTATTTGGGAACAAACTCCAAGAAGATAGTTTATACAAAAAGAAATGTACTTGACTAGGGTGGGGGAGGTTTCTGTGATTCCTTTACAATTATTGATAAAGTTTTTGTTTGTTCAGTAGCGGCTTTCTCCCTTTTAAATTCTGCTTGACCTGGCAGGGAAGACAAAACACAGTCTATATGGAAAGAAGCACTCACTGTAGGAGCAAATAAGAGAAAACAGGGTGTGAGGGAGAAAACGCTTGCTGAAACATGCATTTGGTCATTAGCAAACACAAAGAATTATGAAAATTGGAGTGACCCTTTTTGGTTTTCAGATGATTTCCTAATCTTTCTGTTACCCTCTGAGCATAGAGATTTAAAATACAAGCATTTTATCAATCACTAAAAACTGCTATTGGTTCTCTGCAATTTTAGGCTACGAGAGGAGAAGATGAGGTTTCAACTGGATTTGACTATCCAATTTCTGCTTAAACAAGGACAGGTGGAATTGGAGAGTGCTGCTGAGCTAATACCAGATTATACTGACGCTATTCTCCTTCACAAGAGTGTTATTGAAGAACTGAATTGCACAATCCGGGTAATTTACATTTTCTGGAGGAAATTAAGGGCTTTAAATGAATGGATTTTCCTTTGGAGACAGCAGCTTTTATCTAGTTTGACATTGCTGTAATACATGATTTAATCTCTTTTAATGCACTACCATATACCAATGGGCTCAATTGTCATCTTCGTTTTGGAAGGTCCTTGAAGCTATTATGAGTTCTGTAACATCTCTAATATAAAGGCTACTATCCTGAGCACTGATCAATGACATCCTGATCAGTGGAAAGGCAGCATCTTTAAGCACTATGTCCATTCTGTACATGGTGTATATAGAGAATTAACATCCTATACACCACTCCTACATTCCCCAGTTGTGCGGTCATGTCAGGTAACTGAATGTTGGGTTACAGTGAAACTTCCAAAAATTAAGTGATTCTCCTTTAATATAAAGGTGAAATTGTGGGATCATACATGGCACATTTCATTTTTTCATCTCACAGTAAAGGTTATTTTCTTGCCATCCCAGCTGCATAAAAATTTGCTTTTTATTTCTACCGCATACAACCTTCAGTGGTAACTGCAAAATACCTGACACTGGGAGAGGCTCAAATAGAGGGAAGATGCTTAGGCCCACGTTTTTAAAGGTATTTATGCATTGCTATGCTCACCATTGCAATGCCTACCTGATTTAGGAGCCTCAATGTCATTTCCAAAAAGGATTTAGGCACTTAGGAGCTAAAATTCCATTGACAGTTGATGGGATTTAGGTGCCCAAATCACCTTTGAGACTGACAGGCTCCTAAATTAGTTAGGTGTATTGCAAGGCTGAGCTCAGCAGTGCCTAAATACCTTTAAAAACCTGGGCCGTAGCACTTTATATAAGGTGGGAGAACAGACAGGTATTGACTGCAGTTTGTTTCACCCTCATCTGTGATACAAGGCTTAAGCAGTAGCGTTAATTTAAAGTGTCAGCAAAAGGCAACAAGTGCCATAAAAAAGAACATAAGAATGGCCATACTGGGTCAGACCAATGGTCCATCTAGCCCAGTATCCTCTCTTCTGACTTCTGGCCAAAGCCACATGCTTCAGAGGGAATGAGCAGAACAAGGCAGTCATAGATTCATAGATTCTAGGATTCTAGGACTGGAAGGGACCTCGAGAGGTCATCGAGTCCAGTCCCCTGCCCGCATGGCAGGACCAAATACTTCTAGACCATCCCTGATAGACATTTATCTAACCTACTCTTAAATATCTCCAGAGATGGAGATTCCACAACCTCCCTAGGCAATTTATTCCAGTGTTTAACCACCCTGACAGTTAGGAACTTTTTCCTAATGTCCAACCTAGACCTCCCTTGCTGCAGTTTAAGCCCATTGCTTCTTGTTCTATCCTCAGAGGCTAAGGTGAACAAGTTTTCTCCCTCCTCCTTATGACACCCTTTTAGATACCTGAAAACTGCTATCATGTCCCCTCTCAGTCTTCTCTTTTCCAAACTAAACAAACCCAATTCTTTCAGCCTTCCTTCATAGGTCATGTTCTCAAGACCTTTAATCATTCTTGTTGCTCTTCTCTGGACCCTTTCCAATTTCTCCACATCTTTCTTGAAATGCGGTGCCCAGAACTGGACACAATACTCCAGCTGAGGCCTAACCAGAGCAGAGTAGAGCGGAAGAATGACTTCTCGTCTCTTGCTCACAACACACCTGTTAATACATCCCAGAATCACGTTTGCTTTTTTTGCAACAGCATCACACTGTTGACTCATATTTAGCTTGTGGTCCACTATAACCCCTAGATCCCTTTCTGCCGTACTCCTTCCTAGACAGTCTCTTCCCATTCTGTATGTGTGAAACTGATTTTTTCTTCCTAAGTGGAGCACTTTGCATTTGTCTTTGTTAAACTTCATCCTGTTTAACTCAGACCATTTCTCCAATTTGTCCAGATCATTTTGAATTATGACCCTGTCCTCCAAAGCAGTTGCAATCCCTCCCAGTTTGGTATCATCCGCAAACTTAATAATCGTACTTTCTATACCAATATCTAAGTCGTTAATGAAGATATTGAACAGAGCCGGTCCCAAAACAGACCCCTGCGGAACCCCACTCGTTATGCCTTTCCAGCAGGATTGGGAACCATTAATAACAACTCTCTGAGTACGGTTATCCAGCCAGTTATGCACCCACCTTATAGTAGCCCCATCTAAATTGTATTTGCCTAGTTTGTCGATAAGAATATCATGCGAGACCGTATCAAATGCCTTACTAAAGTCTAGGTATACCACATCCACAGCTTCTCCCTTATCCACAAGACTCGTTATCGTATCGAAGAAAGCTAGCAGATTGGTTTGACATGATTTGTTCTTTACAAATCCATGCTGGCTGTTCCCTATCACCTTACCACCTTCCAAATGTTTGCAGATGATTTCCTTAATTACTTGCTCCATTATCTTCCCTGGCACAGAAGTTAAACTAACTGGTCTGTAGTTTCCTGGGTTGTTTTTATTTCCCTTTTTATAGATGGGCACTATATTTGCCCTTTTCCAGTCTTCTGGAATCTCTCCCGTCTCCCATGATTTTCCAAAGATAATAGCTAGAGGCTCAGATACCTCCTCTATTAGCTCCTTGAGTATTCTAGGATGCATTTCATCAGGCCCTGGTGACTTGCAGGCATCTAACTTTTCTAAGTGATTTTTAACTTGTTCTTTTTTTATTTTATCTGCTAAACCTACCCCCTTCCCATTAGCATTCACTAGGTTAGGCATTCCCTCAGACTTCTCGGTGAAGACCGAAACAAAGAAGTCATTAAGCATCTCTGCCATTTCCAAGTTTCCTGTTACTGTTTCTCCCTCTTCACTAAGCAGTGGGCCTACCCTGTCTTTGGTCTTCCTCTTGGTTCTAATGTATTGATAAAAAGTCTTCTTGTTCCCCTTTATTCCCTTAGCTAGTTTGAGCTCATTTTGTGCCTTTGCCTTTCTAATCTTGCCCCTGCATTCCTGTGTTGTTTGCCTATATTCATCCTTCGTAATCTGTCCTAGTTTCCATTTTTTATATGACTCCTTTTTATTTTTTAGATCATGCAAGATCTCGTGGTTAAGCCAAGGTGGTCTTTTGCCACATTTTCTATCTTTCCTAACCATCGGAATAGCTTGCTTTTGGGCCCTTAATAGTGTCCCTTTGAAAAACTGCCAACTCTCCTCAGTTGTTTTTCCCCTCAGTCTTGATTCCCATGGGACCTTACCTATCAGCTCTCTGAGCTTACCAAAATCCGCCTTCCTGAAATCCATTGTCTCTATTTTGCTGTTCTCCCTTCTACCCTTCCTTAGAATTGCAAACTCTATGATTTCATGATCACTTTCACCCAAGCTGCCTTCTACTTTCAAATTCTCAACGAGTTCCTCCCTATTGGTTAAAATCAAGTCTAGAACAGCTTCCCCCCTAGTAGCTTTTTCAACCTTCTGAAATAAAAAGTTGTCTGCAATGCAGTCCAAGAATTTGTTGGATGGTCTGTGCCCCGCTGTGTTATTTTCCCAACATATATCCGGATAGTTGATAGAAGTCCCCCATCACCACCAAATCTTGGGCTTTGGATGATTTTTAGTTGTTTAAAAAAAGCTTCATCCACCTCTTCCACCTGGTTAGGTGGCCTGTAGTAGACTCCTAGCATGACATCACACTTGTTTTTTACCCCTTTTAGCCTAACCCAGAGACTCTCAACACTTCCGTCTCCTATGTCCATCTCTACCTCAGTCCAAGTGTGTACATTTTTAATATATAAGGCAACACCTCCTCCCTTTTTCCCCTGTCTATCCTTCCTGAGCAAGCTGTATCCATCCACACCAACATTCCAATCATGTGTATTATCCCACCAAGTTTCAGTGATGCCAACAATGTCATAGTTGTATTTATTTATTAGCACTTCCAGTTCTTCCTGCTTATTACCCATACTTCTCGCATTTGTATATAGGCATCTAAGATACTGGTTTGATCTTTCCTCCCGGTTTTCTCCTGACCCTCCTTTCTCTCTGCCAATATAGCCCACACTCCCTCTCGTTTCCGACCCATCTCCCAGGTCTCCATGTTCCCCACTTACCTGCGGGCTTTGCTCACCTGTCCCCGTCGAACCTAGTTTAAAGCCCTCCTCACTAGGTTAGCCAGTCTGTGTCCAAATAGGGTCTTTCCCCTCCTCGAAAGGTGAACGCCATCTCTGCCTAGCAGTCCTTCCTCAAATAGCATCCCGTGGTCTAGGAAGCCAAAGCCCTCCTGGCGACACCATCTTCGCAGCCAGGCATTCACCTCCATGATGCATCTGTCTCTGCCCGGGCCCCTACCTTTGACAGGAAGAATCGAAGAGAATACCACCTGCGCTCCAAACTCCTTCACCCGTACTCCCAGAGCCCTGTAGTCACTCTTGATCCGCTCAGTGTCACACCGCGCAGTATCATTCGTGCCCACATGGATGAGTAGCATGGGGTAGTAGTCAGAGGGCTGGATAATCCTCGACAATGCCTCCGTAATGTCTCGGATACGGGCTCCCGGCAGGCAGCATACCTCCCGAGATGAAATGTCAGGGCGACAGATGGGCGCCTCTGTCCCCCTCAGCAGAGAGTCTCCGACCACCACTACCCTACGTTTCCTATTCGCAGTGGTGGCAGCAGACCTTCCAGCCTTAGGGGTACGAGGCTTCTCCTCCTTTACTGTAGGGGGTGATGCCTTCTTTCCTGTATCAAGAAGAGCATAACGGTTACCTATTACCACAGCGGGAGGGTTCGGAGCAGGGGTGGAGCACTGCCTGCTGCCAGAAGTAACCAGCTGCCAGTGTCCACCCTGAGCCATCTCCTCCTCCACCAGTGGTGTATCAGCAATCCTGTGTACTGGGACAGCTACCTCAGCTGTCTCCACATGGACACTGTCCAGGAATTGCTCGTGGATTCGGATGCTTCTCAACCTAGCCACCTCCTCCTGTAGTTCTCCCACCTGCTGCCTGAGAGATTCCACCAGCAGGCACCTTTCACATTGGATGGTCCCCCCAGCCTGGATATCAGTAAGTGGAAATTGCAAGTTACAGTCTCTGCAAAACCACACCAGGATCTGGGTAGAAGCATCCATGCTCAGGCGCTCTGTCTGGCTACAGGCGCAGGTGGAGGAGACAGAAGCAGTGCTGGCACAGGTGTTGCGGGTCTTCCTAACCATCGTAAGCCTCCCTCTGTCAAACTCCCGTCTGCAGCCCCCTGTCCGCCCAAACGGGGGCTGTATTGCTCCTCCTTCACCTGGAGAACTCCCTTGCGAAACTCCC